TGTCTATAGGCGACGCTTACCACTTTCCATCAGGTGGACCGTCAGCTTGTTTACCATTCTAAGTTGTATAAAAAAAAAACCTCTTTTTTTTTGGAAGGCACGTAAACCAAGGTTTTTATTAAGTAATTTCTTTACCGTATTTCTACTAATCCCGCTTGCAATGCCATCAGTTTCTGTTTTCTAACAAGATATATTCTAATTCGAACTTTAATTACCTTGAGTATAACTGGGGTTTGAACAGAGCGAGTTCGATCCGACCTCTTTTTGTCATTAATACTCTATATCTTTTAATTGTCCGAGAAACAAATGTGTAAATAATATTTCATTTTTATAAAAGTAGAAAAATTGTTGGAAAATGACCACAACGGTGTAATGCAACAACAGCCACGCAATCTTCTTTCCGAGTCCACTGTATCGTGAAACTACAGAAAATTCTAGAATATCGAAGTGAAATCTTCAACTAAGACTAGAAGCATTCATAATTCGAATGCAAAACGAATTAAAATTAATTAATTTATAATAAATTTTGACTTGCGCTCAATTGAGTCAAGTCAAGTCAAAGTTTTACGTGTATGACAGTATTTATGAATCAAGTGAGTAATTCAGTAATGCTGTCGAATATTATCGATATCATATACTATTGGAATTTAGAAAATACTAAATTTTGTTGACCGCATGTACCTAAAAGAAATATTTACCAGAGGGAACAAATTAGTACAAAAGCCTGCATGACTACTTATCGTGTTTTTTTACTATAAAGTAGCTGTATTTTGGTTTAAAGAATGAGATATGACAGTAAAATTACAGGGTACATAGGCACCATGGGAATCATTGTGTATTCTATAATGTCCATGGATCACGTCTATAGATTATGGTTACCACTTTCCTTCAGGTACTCCATCAGCTTGTAAGCTATTGTCAGCATCATAAAAAATAAATATTTCGTTACCCCCAAAATGGAGATCGAAATTTCAAGTATAAACTACTAGTTAAAATGGAAAAAATTGATCTACAATAAGGCACAGTGTTTAAGAAAATTTTTCAAAACCATTTTTAAATTGGTATCGTATATTCTGCTCTATTCGTAGTAAATATACGGTCCATTTTTTAACTATTTATGATTCAATAAATTTTTCTTAATCACTGTTATAAAAAAATAATTGTAATTAGATGTCTATTTCAGATTAGATACACAATAAACACGTATTTAATACTCAGATAATGATTTATTTATTACTATTTTCCCGATCTACCTGATTATATGTATAAATAAAATAATTAATAATAAGAATATATATTTTTCTTGATTTATTAATTAAAGGTTTTGATGATATTTAATATGTAATATGTCATAGCTCGACACTCAAAAGACATATATGTATGTAATAGAAGGTAATCTTTCGCAACCACAGACTCTTCCAGTCGATAACATATTACAGCATTGTTCTAAAACAATATAGGCTCTATGTTGATTTACCGACGCGCGATGTCCCTACTTCTCGGATGTGGGCTTAATATGATGAAGACCGAACAATGACATGCTTACTATTTTCAAGAGATACTTTATATACAGGTTGTTTCCAATAATACGCTGGTAGATTTAAATCTATTTTAGATTGAATTACAATATTTAAATATGTTTATATTTATATACTTCAGATATATTTAATATTTTATTGTAAATTATTTATTTCTTTTATAAAAGATAAAAGTTACTGATCAATCAAATGAGAACTCAAAATTTATAAAGTTGAAATGTGGCTAATAGATTCTAGAAACTTCCTAAAGGTGTCAAAACCTGATTGAGACATGTTTTATTAAAAAAAAAAAGATTATTGGTATAAAATTGATATTATCTTACCTATAATCTTTACTTTTTGATATTTTTTAAAGACAAGTATTGAAATTTAGAGATTTAATTAATATTTAAATGACTCTCTATATTGACTGACACACATCTCTCTCGTATTATTATAATGGTATTATTCTTATTCTATGTTATAATTTTTTACAATTTTGTATTTATATCATAGACGTAGTATAACGTACTCATGTATATTTATATGTATATTTTGTAAAATCTATAAAACTAATAAAAAATCAGTAAACTACTTTAGGTGATTTCCGAATCAACAAAAGAGCATTTTAAAATTTTATTTTAGACTAACTTTAATCCGTGACTTCATCTGAATGACCGGGATATGATGCAAGATCGAGATAAAAAATAGCCTATTCCCATCCTATATTACTGTAAAGGATGGGAATAGGCTATTTTATAGCCTAGTTATATGTACAATAAATGTTATAGACTGGATAAGCTTTTAAGGCGCTAAAAGGTAGCAAACAAACAAACTCACTTTCACATTTGTAAGGATATAAATTCTATAAAAGCAGGGAACTGGATCTGTAAATTCTTATTTTAAATATATGAGTGTTGTAAGAACAGGCTGTATAAAGGAATCTGGTGAGGGTGCGGCAACTAATGAAGTTTCGGGTCTGTCCCTAAGTTACGTGAGGACTGAGGACTCCGCATGGGCTTTGTCCCGTCTCACTGAACTTACACGATCTTATTTGCGTACTAACTACGAACAATACGACGGCTGGCGACTATACTTATTTATATAATTGTGAGTACTGGATATAGTTCAAGTTTCAATTTTTTGTAAAATTTTACATATAAATATGATATGATAAATGAACTCTCTTTCGTTTGTTTGTCAGGTGCTTTAACGAACCAACAAATTCCAATTAGTAAAAGTTGCTATCCTATAATAAAAATAATATACGAACAAAGTCACTAGTGGTTTGCTAGATTTGATAGTAAACAATTACAAAAGGATTATTTTTTTTATTTTAAACTTTTTTAAATTTCCCTTATAAACCTAATAACTTTTATAAGCTGCTTATACTTACATGAGGTACCCGGGGCGCCGGCTTCTAGAAAACCTCATGTACGTTTATGTTCTTCTAATAACTAGATACACTTTCATTATTTCAGCTGAAAGTATCCTGCTTGCTGGATAAGCAAGCACGATAATTGCATTTTTTCTTTTATGCTGGTCTAGTTTGCATAATTTCCTTTAACGATCAAAGTATTAATATTGGGTGTTAAACTACTAATTATATACCCACTGCTCTAAAAAGAAAGAGATGACCAAAAAGCTACATCCTTTTGCACCACAATAACTCTTCTTCACATATAGCCAATAAAACAAAGATATTTAAACTTTCGAAAACTAGAGCTCGAGATCCATCCTGCGCATAATCCAAACCTTACACCCTTATATTTCCCCTAAAATCAAAAGTCAAAATAAAACCTCTTAGACTTTCGCGCTGCATGTTTTATGTTTTTAAATTAATAAATTATCTCGATGTTTCGACTCAGTTATACTAAGTGTGGTCTCAAGTAGGCTGATGTTGCTCTATCTAAATAGTTATATTAATATCTAATGATAGTGATAATTCCCGTCCCTTCTAAAATATAAAGCCTTACTGTACTTATACAATTGTATCGTTGTGTTTGTAAATTGCCTTGCTTATTTCCTATATTGTATAATGCAAATAAAGTCATTCATTCATAAAATGAAAATTTTTATCAAGAGAGGTTTTACTTTTACTAAGACAAGAAAGAGGAAGAGACGGTGATGGCTTTCAATCAGCACGTGGAAAATGTATCCGCAGATGAACAATCCTCGTGGTTTAAAAAATGGTTCAAACATGTGAAAAAATGTTTAAAAAGTAGAGAAGAGTTCTTTGAAAAACAATAAATGTAATATTTTTATTTTAACTTGTTTTATTTATAAGATACGCAAAATTTTTAATGTGGTCTTATATATTATATTGTAATACTTACCTACACATTAAAAATATTAGTAATACAATAATAAATATAATATAAGTAATATAAAATAACAAAATATTTTTTTTATTGCAAACTAGCGACTCGCTCCAGCTTCGAAGGGGTAGATAGAACAGATAGATCACTGTTTTTTTTTTAAATAAAATTCTAGTTGCACACTGATACTGTACTTTTCTATTTAATGATTTTATCTATTAGAAACAAAAATTCAATTTTTTTCTCTTTATAATATTTTTTATCGATATAGTCACAACTCATTTTTATAAAGTTACACTAAAAATTTTAAAATTATGATGGAAGCACCCTTAATAAAATATCAATCTAACTCAAAATTGGTAAAACGAGTTTTACAAAAATACCAATCAAAAATAAAAGCAGAATTCATAATTTAATTAAGGAAAAAATATTTTTGTTCCTTAGATAATATAATGTTCTACCAATATTCACTTCGATAATTTATTGTACTTTTTGCATTAATATTTTGCTACAATTTTTTGTACGAGGATTTTTAAACAAGAACATATCTCCTCTCCTATGAAAGTAGGTTATATTTACTGATACGATAATGATACGTAATACGTAAAAATAATACGTGGTATGTAATGATACGAATCATTCTCAGTACATTCAGGGCACACATCAAGACAAGATTGGACAAGTCCGTTTAAATATATATTATTTCGATTTTACATTTAATCTTGGTTAACTATCATAAAAATTAGTACCAACCATAATAGTCAGTCAGTCAGAAATCTTCATTCCTAACAATTTAAGATCGTGTTCCATAAAAAACCCGACTTAAGTTGATGATGTGACAAAATCAGTTGTTTTGATTTAAAAAAAATATATTACTGCATCGATTTTGATAAAACTTCTATGAGATTAGTCTCATAAGTATATCCTTCTAGATAAAAAAGAATTTTCCAAATTAGTTCATAAGTGTCGGAGTTATGAGGTAACAAACTTAAAAAAAATACTACCGACTTGATATCTGTTTCTTTTTGCAATTGTTTGAAAAGAAAAAAAAAACATAACTTTTCCTACGGAAAATATTACATTTTTCATATTCATTTACTTTATTTTTTTTTTATTTTATATTAGGAAAATAATTATGTTGTTTTGTCATATTAAATGAGCTAACCTGTTCCCATTCTACGGACGGCCACTACCGGCGTCCGCTGCTTTTCCCAAAAGGCAGACAGCTCGGCTGCTGGCCTACTTGCTCTATACAATAACTATTGTACACCACCACTGCCTTTTATACACATGCTTATAATTTTTCACTTATAATGAAGTAACAAACTTTTGACAAAATTCCTAAACACTTTTTTAACATTTAGGTTTACGCTAATGAATTACTGGATAGTATTCAAAGATATTAAAACTATTTTTTCAAATCCGCTATACGAAACTGATGACTTTTGCAAAATGACTTCACCACCCAGTCGCGGCTTTCGACAGACTGCTCTGATAATTGTGATCTTTGAAGCCGCTGCGGAGATCGCGAGTCACATCATCCCCTGATTACACCGAGTCCCACCCCCTGAGCGGGAGAGTGTTACGGGAGTTCTGCGGGCGCGAGTGGGATAGCCTTGATCCCATCTTGTGTCCCGGTCCACAGGCTACATTGTCACGGCATCAGCGGCGGCGTATCTGACCGAATTACGTGCAAACATAATGGGTACGTTACGTGATAAGACTACGTTTACGCAACATTTCATTTCCAAAAGCTTTCTACTTTTTTATTGGGATTTTTTACTTTGCATAAAGGTTTTTTATTACTAGTAATGCAGTCAATATAAACAAAACACAGATATTACTTATTTTTTTTTATATTGTAATATTGCTTTTAACTTTATTGTTGTTTTATTTTTGTAATTTTAGTAATTAAATATATTTTTTCATATTATGTACAGACATTGTTTTAAAAAATATTATATAATACCCAGATATTTTTCTACCAGGGTCCAGTTGTCCGTCCATTTATAGATATTATAAATAATATTTTACATTTGTTTTAAGTATTTTTATACATTCAGTAAAGTTAGTATAGAAGATATGTCTATTCCCATTTCAATAATAATTATAGATATTAAAAATGTCTTCTGCCTAAAATAAAAGGTACGCATAGAAATCACAAATCGTGTAAACTATCTGACGAGTAAACATTAAAACGTCAAGTTGGTCGGGGTGAGAGGGAGCTTAATTGTTTGGGCGGCGGCGGCGACCAATCGCGCAGCGCGGCGGCGAGGGGGCGGCGCGTAGCTAGCAAGCTCGAGCGCGATCGAGCTACTAAGCGAACTTGCCACGTGCTTAGGCGCTTTTCACATTTAACCATAAGATCGTGTCTACTTTGATGCGCTGAACCATTGGGTTTTTGTGTAACCTTCTTTCATTGAAATGGTTAGACTAAATACGCTCTATGGAATTTTAAATAAGAATTGTTTTATGGAATTGAAAATAATGTATTCACTTATGCGTTAATTTGGTAATTTTATTATTGAAATTGTAGAGTTTAATTCTTATTATTTAGTAATTGTTCTATGTCATAGATTAAATTTGAGCTTATATAGGTTAAAATCGAGATCATTAACATTAAAATATTTACTGAAAATACAAAATAAATATTGATTTTCGCATACTAATATAACAACTATGCACACTGTTTTAGGATTAAATATTTTTGTCGTCAATGTAGAACACATTGCTGTGAAAAAATATTTAATTTTATTACATTACTCACTTTAAAGGACACCCATGATTTTAATTACAATTTACAGGCAAATTATACAGCTAATTTGTCTGTTAATTATGATATTAAAATAAAAGTAATAAGTGGAAAAAAGACTCTACCAAGTACCAATATACTAAGCCGTTTTTGTTCAATTTTATAGGGCTATTCCAAAGAAATGACGTAGTATAATGCGTAGATATCACAGGTGGTACATACTGTTCGTACATCTCTTGTTTATTTTTATTGCCTAAATTTTCTATATATTTTATTTGGATGAAATTATTAACAAATAGTGCAGATTAAATTTAATAAAAGTTTAAATTGTAAATAAAGAGTTTATTCTTATTTTTTATATTTCAACAGCAAAAAAAAAAATATATTGATTCCTTATTTTCCCATATTCAACATCAAGAGACCGCTTAGTTTTGGATAATTGTATTATTTTTATAGTAAAGTAGGTAGGTGTAAATGCATTAAAAGCAAAACTATAATCGTGCTTAATCATGCCCAAATAGTATAAATAGCTTATCTACACATGGTGTCTATTTATTTTTGTCACTCGCCGGGACACATCTCCGTTCCCCAAATCCTGTCCTCTCAATGAGATGGTTCAGTGTGTAGTGCACATAATCCAGACACGAGCGGGCGAGGCGCGGCTCGCACGCGATCGGGCTTTGCACTGTAATAATATAGATTCCATTATGTTATACTTATTAACTAATTCCTCATTCTATCGCACTTGTTTAGATTACACTATACTCTTTGCATTACAGCTTGGTATGGCTAACTGCTTACATTTTACCAATTTTTGTAAAAAAAACTGCACTTGATTATAGATTGAGATTTTTTGAATAGAAATTATAACTGATACTTTCTCATTATATAATGGTTTTGTGAATTTGTAATTTACATTTCAGTATGTTTTTAATACCTTTTTAATGGATTGTAAATGGTATGGTGAAGTGAAGTTGCTTAGTTGGAATTCAACAGTAATTTGTTTCCATATTGGCAACAATGGAGCTGTAAAACTTATATATTAGCATCCGCCCATTATTTCAGTTATTTGTTACCGATACCTACCATGCTCTAACGAGTACGGAATGTAACTATTTTAAACGTACTAGTTAGATAGTACTTAAGTACTATAACACAGATTTAATTAATAAGAAGCATCATTAAATAGTTAATTTCAATATGATATTTTTTCACTTACCTCAGAGGAGACTTGTGCTACCTATTTTTGAATTTATTTTAATAAAATAAGAAACCTTATTTATTTAAGTACTTACTTAAATTACTTATATTTGTACTTATATTTATGTCCGAATGGATATTATTTATTCTTTAACAATTTTCTAGGAAAAAAGTCTTTTGATATTTGTTATTGTAATTTTAAAAATATGAAATATCCACAGAGTCCGTGAGAGTTTCTCACGCTGATACTTATGGAATAGCCACGCGAATAAAATTAAAATTGTCTACGATAAACACTTATACTTTAAAATAATATTTAAATGTATTGTAGATTATATAGTGGCAATTGTTCATTTTAAAAGAGAAAACATATGCACGGCCGGAAAAAAAACGAAAGGGGTGACGCTCAGAAGCACTTGGAAAAAATCAAACAATACGCGCGTGACCGTACCATTGTTAAACGGCTCTTCACGTACCCCATTTATAATGGAGCAAAATTATTATACAGTAATAGCTAAGTCTTAAATGATATTATCATGCGAAAACGTTAATTGCAAACATTAATGTACGTACAAAATAAAACCCAAAATGAACTAAAAAGGCTAGTGCATTGAATTGTGCAATAATTTGTAAATTCTAAATTGGAATAATTTGTAGTGTTATTAGTCATGTAGTCAAACAAGACCAAAATATTCATAGAAATTTTGTACAAGTATGTCGCGTTGACGTGGGAGTTTTTTTTTTATAAAATAGTACCTAGGTATTATAAATTGGTACTTATAAATATTTAAAAATGTATTAACAGTTTCTGGAACTTAATTATGATATAGTAGATATTATTGCGAACTACTTATATTCTTTTCAATACTACAGTCTACACCGGGGTGAAATATAATACGATAGCAACCCTAAACCTTAAGTACAATACTTATGTACCGTTCTCTCACGTTGAATGGTTCATTATCAAATCCCCGCTTATCTTTGAATACGTGGATGTGCTGTCAGACGCGTAATGACAACTCATTCTGTATCCAAATACGGCTCTTTACCCTTCATTCGCCATCATTATATCACAAGTAAGGAGTTATGGAAACTAATAGTTGGAGAAGTCTCTTTGTAAAATAATACAGAGCAAAAACTATAACAATACGAGTATATATATCATATGTAAAATAAACAATAACTATAACAAACCGAACTATGCCGAGCCTGTAGCTCGGCATAATTCGGTGACTAGTAGATTTAACTAAATGTATGTTATTTATTATTAAAGGTTGCCTGAAAGAGATCACTCTTAGTGATAAAGCCGCCCATTGTTTTCTCAGTGTAATTTTTTTCTTTTAATTGTCTGTATTTTTAATAAGTTTACTATTGTAATTTTATAGAGGAAATAATAAAGAATATCTATCTATCTATCGATTATTCAATAAAGACAGTTATTATTATTATTAGTAAAATAATTCAATGATAAAATTTAAAATTTAAAAAATAAAGGTTCACACACTTCTTTAATGTTTATCTATGTAAAAGTGACTAATCATCCTGAATTATAAAAATAAAAGTTGTATATATCTTATCAGTTACAAACAAACAAATTCGTTTCATACTTATAATGTATTGGTAAAATATATTAGTCCAAAGTACAAAAATGTTTTATTACATTGTAAAAATTACGACATAAGTACGTAGTAGTATAAATTATTTATCTTAAATCACATACAGATATTAGTTTCCTGTACATTTTTAATGATGAGGTTTTTATTCTAATACTTAATATATTATATACACAGATTTTAGTATGAATTGTTTGAGACGATACGAGTACTACTGACACTAAAACTAAAGAAAACACCCCCATTTGCCTCCTCCGGACTGACTGCGTGTATTACAAGTTTCGTGTTTGCTCTTAGCTGTGCGATGATATACACCTGCACTTGTGACAAATGAGCACTACGGGTAAAAATCGCGCCGCGCTCACCGCATCTGGCTGAATTAATTCGTCTCGCGGTGTCTCTTAGAGCGTCATCCTCGAATAGTGACCTATTGAATGAATAGACATTACCAAATTATATTAGTTTTGACTAGATTTATACTTTTGTTCGAAAGAAGCAAAATCTGAGTTACCTTTTCTTATGAGCTGAAACAGTCTTTCGAGTTAAGCGGTAAATTAAAAAAAAAAAGAATACCTACAATTTTTAACTTTTGCTTCTATATAAGTTTATTTGAATAAAAATTCTATTTCTGAAATGCTACAGCATTTACATACAATACATATATTGAAAGTCTTTGTACAATGTCATGTATGGATGATAATTAATAATTAAATTATAACCATGCATAGGCACCTCGCGCACCTTCTATATCCTAATCTATATGCCCTTTTTTAGAATATGGCCAATGCTTATCAACTATTGAATAGTTTGGCAGTAAAAATATATTAAATAAACACGTATATACATTTTATAACATTAGTGACGATCTTACTTTGAGGAGAGGAGAAACGACACACTTACCTAATTGAATGACGTAAGTTTTTTTACAAGAGAATAATGTTTCAAAAAAACAAGAATAGAAATAATTAAACCATAATACTCGTATCAAAATAAGAAGAATAGTGTAACAGTAAAATAATTAAATAGATGTGACTTTTATTTTTGTATTAAAATTAAGTGTAGCGCGATGTGTGCCGTGTCTGCAAGTTGCTACGTCCGTAACAACGCGTAGCAGGCACTTAGCTGGTCGCCTCTAGCGCTCTGATTTATGTGCCAGCGACATCGAGCTGTGACAATTTATTTCAATTAACGCTTACGCCCCCTGGCGGTCTACTGACGTGCTATGTAAGATTAATATTAAATCATTAACAACTCATTTCGTTATTTACTAGTCTAGATCATTAATGATAGCTCTACATATAATTAAAGTTATTTATGTCGACTTTATTATTTAATTACAACGTTGTTATGATTTTCAATAAAAAAAATATTAATAATGTGTAATATACGAGTATTCACAATATAAAAACACCTAAAATATAATATGTAGACTCCAAATTACAAAAAAGACATTAAAAATAATTGTTGCATTAATAAATAAATTCTAAGATTTTAATGTATTTATATTATTACCCAAAATATTGTATATTGCTAATTCTAAATGTGCTATAAAAATGTATTTGTCTGTTTCATGTATACATTGCTCTGGTACTGTACAATCAAACGCTAAACGGTTTACTCGACGGATTCAGATCATTCCGCAGAATTCATTTGCTCGTTAAAAGCCTGACAAGTGAGTATTGTCGCCCTGCTCCGCAAACAGACCCAGGAGGCTCGCGAAAAAGTCCTTTTAAAAATGTTGCGGCACGTTCGCATGGGAAAGTACCCATTACGGGAAAGTGCCGGCTGTTTGTTCAAAGATTTAGATGCAAACGTAACGAGAAGCGGTTTTTATAACTGTACAATGACGTTATTTAGGTAAGTCGCGGCTCTTGATGACACAAATTATTAAATCTTTCTTTTTTTTCTGTTTGGTAATTTACCATGGAACGATATCAATAACGAAATAGTACGAGTTTATTTAATATATAAAATAATTCTATTTATTTTATATGTCAGTTTGTTAAGTTTGGGTCTTTGATTTATTGTACCAACAAATATAAATAACAAAAGATTTATATGATATTTTCAATCTCTTAACATATTCCCGTGGTCATATTACTATTACTGCATGATTCCTAGAGGTTTCTCCATATGAATTAGTATATAAAACATCCTAAGTGTTAAGTTATTATATAACCTCTATGTGTACAAAATTTCATTCAAATCCGTTCAACCAAGTAAGGATGAATAAGTAACAAATATCTTTAAAATTTTAAATTTTATAGTATTAGTAGAATTTATGTATGAGCGATTGTTTATTGTCGATAAAAATAATTAAAAAATAAAAACAAACAATTAACAATTGTATATATTTAATAGTAAGTTCAGTTCAGTTCAGTCCAATAAAATTACAGAGCAGTTTTAACAATATACACACTAGGATCTGGGGAAGTGTCACTGCTTGGTATGTTTGCGAGTTTCGTGATGATTTGTTCATATATATTGATGCCCTTGAGGAAGGTGCTGGCCGGGAGATATTCGTCAACGGCGTGTAATAGCAGTGGTGTATTTGCCATCGGTGAGATGCCAAATGCGGGCACGCCGGCCAATCGAACGTGTCGCGCGTCTGTCGACCCCGGTGGCACAATTGGTATTATTGGCACTTTCCTGTCAAAATATATTAAAAAATATATATTTTTTTCTTTGGTAATGAAACCTAAATAGGCTGGTTTAATAGAATATAATGAAAAGGTTTGTCACCAAGTTATGTTAAAATTATCATAGAAATTCTCAGTAACAAATTAACCAATTAATCGATTTTTTATTTGTACTACTATCGGACATAAGCAAGTGCCCTATGGTCTGTTTAATTATCCGTTTGTTTATATAGCAAATTAAAGAATTAAAATTAACATTTATAATTTATATTAAAAAATTTAAGTACGAATTTAATTTTAATTAATTTAAATTTTTAAATTGAATATAAACAAACGGATAATTAAACCAAATTATTGATACAGAATATAGACATAGTTAGGGCAGTGACTTATTTTTAAATTATTACTTTAAACTTATAAAATGTACTAACAATGATCTTGCTGCTTGGTTGATTGCCCGCCAATATGGGTTAGACAAAGACACGACAGTGGCGGGACTCTGCGGATTCTTTGATATGTAGGTCAACGTAATATTTTCTCCAGCTTCAGCTATCCATTGTTCCAACTGAAAAATAATGGATAATTATGAATAATTACTGTCAGAGATTACTGTACCATTTCATCTTTCAGATTAGCACACTGCTATGTATGTACCAAAGAGAGATTTTGTACAAAAGTCATTTGGGTACCTCTGTTCCATTCGTGTTTCTACCGTGAAGTTGTTATGTTCGCATGGTTATGAAAGTGAATTTACAATGTACAGAAGCATAACATCTTAGTCTTCAGGAATGGCAATGCATGAGGGTATTATGGGCGAAACAGTATACTCTGTTATGTCCATAGTACCGTTTATGCCTATAGGCGACGATTACCGCTTTCCATCAGGTGGGTCGTCAACTTGTTTGCCATTTTAAGTTGCATAAAAATGTATTATTTACATTTTATAGCAGAAATAGGTACTATCCTTAATCTATGGCAAAAATAAATAAAATTATAATAATCCATATAACATTTATTTGATAATATCGAGGCGTCATAGTTTTAAGGAAGATAATTTTGCACCAAATGTGGTCTAGTCGTAATATGGTCTTATGATTGTAGCCAATACTATAAAATTTCTATTAATTTAGTTTCATAAAAAATAGCTGCTCTAATCGCGGCAAAATATTTACTGAGCCAATAGGATAGTAAATCATATAGAATACTTTTTATACTATTATGACAAGCGTACGGCCTGTTGGATGGTAAAAAAGGGTTATCGTAGCCTAAGGATGCTTGTTACAATATAATATATGAATGCAAAAAAAAAAAATTAAATGGGATATTGTGTAAATAGGTACACAAACAAATTGAGAAAATCTTCTTTATAGATAGACGTAATTAAATTTTTACGCCATGATAAGACCTACTTACAAATAATTTATTATAACTTATACCTATTTTTAAATCGACTTAGCAAATCATTAGGATTATTATATCAATAAAATCTATCATTGACTATTATATTGTTACCGTAAACAAGAATAAATTTGTAGAAAAAATTAAGATTGTGGGCTTAAAATTAATAATGTTAGATATATAAGATATATAATATTTTATGATTGGTTTGTCCAACTTTGTATAATCTTTTGTGTTGTCTAGAAAGTAATAAATAATAATAAAAAAAAACTAAAGTTTATATTTTGGAACTAAATTATAATATCTACATAAAAATAATATAAAATAAAAATTAAGAAGGATTACAGAACTAATCCAGTTCTAGTCATTCTTTGGAATAAACTACACATAAATAGATTGCTACCTAATTTGTGTAAATAAATTGTTAATGATCTAGAACCTTGGGCATTGAGAAACTGTCTAAGTTTGTAATCAACACATATTTGTGGAAATGTTTGCATTGTTTTACTTTTAAATACATATTTTTATAAGAGACAAAATAAGTGTACTACTTTGGTATGAAATTACTATACCTTAATATTTTGAAACCGGTCAGACAATATATTATATTATAGTTTCGGTGTTTTATTAAATAATAACTTGTGGAAGTAATAACTAAAAGTGTTTACTCACTTATAAATGTAAATTCCAAATTGTGTATATGCTGGATTTGTTGATACCTACTTAGAACAACAAATCCAGCGTCAACACATATTTAAATATATTTTAAATTGGTAACTATTTCAATTTAATATCTATATGTAGTCATAGTGAACTTACTTGTGCTTGGAATGCATCTTCATTCACTCGAGTTCCCAGACGAATATCAAACGTGAGACTAACAACGCTTGGGATGATATTGTTTGCTGTACCACCCTAAATGATAGTAAAAATTGTATTTGCATTAGTTAGTTTATGTATATATTTATGAAAACTAATTATAACTTAATTTCTCGAATTAGAAATGCGTTTTATACTGTCAAGAATATACTATCGATTAATTTAATGTAAAAATCGTAGCTTGTATAATTTTCGATCGATAGAACACATCAACTAGACTGTCTAATTTTGTACTTCGTAATCAATTGAGGTTCTACTATTGGGCATAAATCTTTCTCACAAGAACAAGGCATAATATTACTAGTAGGCGAAAGGTATGGTAAAGTTTTTTGTTTTAAATTTTTCTTCTTTTCAATAGGGATATTGTGTTTTGTTCCCTTATTTCCCGTTGACATACTGCGGTTAGCACTCAGAGAAAACATTACATTAAAAAAATAATATACCCACACACATTTATCCTGCACATTTATTATATTAGTGAAATTTATACTTACGTTTAATCTGTTAAGATTAACCGATGTATATACGCCAGCATCGAATATTGTTGCCCTTGTCGATATTATGTACTGTTCCTCCCTGAACTTCAATAACGCATCGATTACATTGCGACACTGTAACATTTTCAAAAAACATTTTGACAAATTAATGGATTTTTTTTCTAATTGCAATGACTACCCCTGTCGTCTAGATTACCTACAATCTCTAATATTTATGTGTGATTAGAATATTTCCTATTTTATTTTTCACTTCAATTTACATTTCTTACCATTCCACGCATATATGGTACACGCTCGCTCGAGCTGCGTGGTTGAGAGTTATTTTATCAGTTTGTTGATTTCACTGTATTAAATATTACCGTTTCATAATCTAATCGGATTGATCCTACTTAATAAACGAATTACTTGCAAATAACTGATAAGTAATTCTATTATATTACTTAGTAGCTTTGATTCACAGCTCTACCTGTCAATAATAGATATTATATTATGTGGAATGTGGAAAAAATTCCAATGTTAGATAATGAAGTTAAATAAAATCCATTGTTTTTTTATAATATATAGTCAATTAATATAGTCATAAATACGCAAATTTAAAAAATTTTCAAATTCTGTATCTCAACACGACATGGGAATCTTGAATTTTATACAGACCATAGCTGTGAAGTATATTATATTAAGTCTATGGCCGCAACGGTCAACAAATGCTTCTGACTAAACATAAAAATTTTTCGTTTATATTCCTATCTTTAAATTAATACCAGTTCCATAGTCGGTATGTATATACATACCTATGGCCTTAATTATGTTATAAAACTGAAACTGAGTATGTTCGTTTGTTCTCTCTCGGAGCTTTATGGTTTAACCAATTATTACGAAATTTACCATACGTGTATCATTCAGTATGAATAAGGTAATAGGTATTTTTTTTATTCCAATCACAGGTACTAGGGGGGAAAGGGATTGTTAGTAATGGAGACTGAGAATCCCATCGCTAGCAATATACCCAACCAGGTCGACCTCCTCGCGGTTCCCCCTGGAAACTATCATCGTTAATTCCTGAAGAATTTATCATGATGGGCTAACTGGCCTGTTTTCATGCTCATCTATCACCCTTCACTGGTGCTCCGCCAGCGTATCCCGTTAGCGCAGGCGGAGTTACCATACCATTTTCACCCATCAAAAAAAAAATCACAGGTACTAAGTGCGAATAAAAGCTAGTTACAAATTACTGATTAATCGATTAATATACAGGTAAAACAGCATCACACTATATGAAAAACCTCTGTGTAAAATTTGAAGTTTGTGGACTTTACAATTCACAGAATTATGTATACCTTTCCAGTAGCGGTAGAGTTAGTCGCAGGAAAAGTTGAACCATGTGCAGCTTCACCGTAGCAGTCCACTTTAATTTCTGTGAGCAAAAGAAAATGTTAACAGTAATGAATAAACATTTCATTTTATTATAATTTTAAATAGACATAAAGTGATACCTAGTAAAATTGTCTAAACTCTAGGAAGTTGTTTAAGTACATTTTTTTGTCAAATAATCTATTCTAATTGCCTAGTTCTAAAACTAGAGTACCTGTGTGGTAAAAAATTACCCAATAAAACTCCAATCTAAATAAACACGAACAAAGAAAAGTTGTAAAATAATAATATTATTTTAATATCTAAGTTCTTTTTTAATACGATTTAATCTTGTAATATCTATGTATCTTTTTTAATATTATATAATATAAATATATAATATATATTGTTATTTATTACATGCACCTAGTTATATAAGTATCTACGCCACACCAATATATATATATATATATATATATATATATATATATATATATATATATATATATATATATATATATATATATATATATATATATATATATATATATATATATGCTAATGTATGTATATGTATAGGTAGTTTAACAAAGTCAATGCAAAATAGTTAATATTATTTGATATATTACGCCACACCACCTTATCTTGGTAAAAGAGGGGTATAATTGGTATGGGGGAAGGTGCCCCTTCATCTAATTCTAATCCTACGTTCAATGCGGAGAACTCTTCACTTTGTAGGAATGGAATCATGCCGTCTTCACCGCCCACTTCTTCATCTAAAACAGAAATGGCTAATTAAAAAATATTTACTACATTTACCTATTATTTACAAATCAAAAGCATAATTTTAGATTGTATTTACGTAAGTTTAAATATTAAGAAATTATAATTTACACAATTTACTTTATAGAAAATATTTTATTATTGTTTGAGATTTTATTCAAATAAAGATGTTATAGTTTGTATAGAAAAAATTATATTGTCATAGTTGTGCAATTAGATAAATGCCTATTTTCATATATAGTACAAATAGAACATATATAGTAAAACATAATTTACCAGGCATAATCGTCATGTAAACATCTCTCAAAAGAGTAATATTGTTAGCTTTAATTCTACTCAGAGCTTCGTAATATTGTATGGTAACTGACTTCATGTCTTGAGTACCACGACCATAGATCCTGCCGTTTTCTGTAAGAACCCCTCCAAATGGCGGATAGGTCCATCCTTCCTGGAATTATTATTTATTTGTTAATGTCATACAATAACAACCAGTATTTCTAGTACTTATTATAGAAACAGTAAACAGAAAAACAAATAATAGGGAACAGAATGCAAAATATTTAAACCACAAATATAGAGAATATAATTATTTGAATTGAACCGACCGGGAATTGATCTGCAGAATGTAGCGAACATTGCAATTGTAGCAAAAGTATCTAAATGTATGTAATGCGCTCGTGGAAATTACTAGATTGTTACAATTTGTTTTAATATATAACAAAATCCAAAAGTGATATATCTGAGAATAAACTTTTGAATTAACTTACACTTTCATCAGCGGGTACTACATCCACGTGAGAGTTAAGTTGAATGCTATTCAGTGAAGAATCTAGTCCAGCCCATTTTAGAACAATTATTGGATAGCCCTTTGTGTATTCGTAAACATTTATAGGGACATCTTGTTCTGCTGCCAACCGAGTCCAAAATTCAACGGCTGGGGCTATCGAATTCAAAATATTACAATTATAAGAAAATATAAATTTTATTTTTACAAATATAATTAAAATAATCGAGGTGAGTTTTGATAAATTTGTCGTTTTTGTTGCTACTGTAGAAAACCGATGAAACATAGTGAAATATGACAAATTTTGCAATTTCACATAATGATTTGCATTGATTATGGCGATTTTTGTAACTAAACACGTCTATCGCCGCTTTTATTATGTTTAAAAATCCATCCATGTATGAGTTAAATAAATGACATTTCATTTAAAAAAGAATGAATGTACGAATACTTTTTGTTTGTCATTATTTGCTTAGTTAACGTAAAAATATTTTTACATAATTTTTTTTAAAACAAAAATTATCATAAACAAAGTTGATGTTAAACTATTTAACAGTATTGATTTAAATTAAATAAATATATTATCAAATTCGTATTTTTTTTTATTATAACCGTGTTATGATACTTTTTACACTCATATTTATTTTGTGTTTGTTTAGCATATATTTTTTAAATCTTGCTAAGATTATAATGTGGAAAACATGTTCTGATATTTAAATATATGGATATTTAAATACACTTAATTCTCTTATTTAAAGAACCATATTATAAGCCTGCTGTTATCACGTTGACTTGGGTATACGGTTGCTTGGTTTACAGGTTTGATTCCATTTTTTTTTTCTATAGAATTTTGTGTTATACGATGCATTGGGGATGAACTAATCTGACATATTTTCTTAGTTACCGCCTTGAGATAAGTAATAATTACCTAATTCAAGAATCGAGATGTAAATGAGTGCAAATTTCTGTAAATTATCTCTTAAAATTTATTTCAGAATATAAAACATTCTGAAATAAATTTAAAATATAGTATCTTGTTTTTTTTTTTCTTAGTTACCACAATCTTCGCCATTTAAAAAATAGGTATAACTTCTTATATTTGAACTATTTAATTATTTACCTAAACATTATAAATAAAACACATCTTTATAGGTATGGTTTCGAGAGACAACCAGATGCATTTTTTTCGAACTACTTTAATACTACTGGCCTCAGATAGCCTTTACAGCTTAACCAGAAATAACAGGGCGAGTGCAGATAGCACTACTACTATGACAAACCCACGAAAGGACTTACGGAGTGACCCTTCGTCATCTTCATCCGGACAAAATATTTTAAAGTTATTGAGGAGTAAAAATTGGTTTCAATTGGTTCATGCATAACGCGGCTGCTGCGTCACCAGTTTTTGACTTGACTACACTACTTTTTTTCAAATCTTTTACACTTCGTACATATTAGTGACCATTTTTTTTATCTAATATGAAAGTTAGTCATCAGCCAGTATATGTAAAAATTTTAAATATTGCAAAGTTTTTTTGGATATTTCTCATTCAAATAATTGATTAATAAATAATTAATATAAAATAATGGGCAATGTCTGTCTTACGACAATAACATAGCCCGAAGAGTAAGGAAACTGAACTATGACTAGTCACATAACTTTAAGAACCGATAACCGATGAAGAAGAAAGGTTCTTGAGTGGCAACCCCATAAGGGCAAAAGCAGTGTAGGACGATAGATGGAGTGACCACCTCAAATGCATTACAGGAAGTTAGTGGGTGGCTCAGGACTGTTTTTATGGCAATTTATGGGGGAGGCCTATGTTTTGCAGTGGACGGATAATGGCTGAGATGATGATGATGATGATGAATGTCTGTTTAATTATTTGGGTATCAATACAAATGACTAAACAAACATTTCTCTAGATATATTTACGAAAGCAAAGGGCTGCCTGTTTAGTGTAGTAACTAACAGTAATCTCTTCTTATAAGAAGATACCTGAGCCAAATAGCGAAAAGTTAATAAGTTTTATTCTAGAAATATGTGTTTGATTACAAACATAGGATATACATTTTAAAAGAATTTCTTTCTTCTTTTTAGTGTAATTATGCACTTAATACTGTAGCAAAAGAACAATTGTAAAAAATATAAATCGGTACCAATCTGACATATTTTTTTAGATGTTTCACATATTAAACAGAAATAAGAAATACACAAATGTATCTATATTACATCAGACCGACATTGTTAGGCTCAGCCTCTATCATGCCACATTCAAATATGCTATATAACAGATATGGCAACAGCGGACAAAACCTCTTCTCCAAACATTTAATTATTATGTGTACTTACTCAGATCACCACCAGTAGTTGTATTTATACGGATATATTCTTGAAATCGTTGTACCGCTGGGTCATCGGCATATCTATTTCCATTAACTCCATACAATCCACAAAAAACCACGCCAAATAGTACCCACTGCATTTTACGAGCTACCTATATCTACAAACAATGTATGACAATGTGCAATTCCGGACAAAGCCGTAAGTATTTATAGCAGAATCAAGTTTATTACATCATTAACCATCTATAAAGTTTATAACTTTCTATCTGTAAGCCTGTGTTATATTATTAGATAAGTATAACTAGTTTTAATCTAGTGATCTGTCATAACTTGATAATCATTTCTATAAGGCTATAAATTTAAAAGTCTCTTTTAATAACCGCTCGGAAAAGTCATTATATTACATACTCGTATATATTTAATTTAATAAGTTATTATAATCAAATAGTGGTGTCTGTTTCATTTAAAGTTCATAAATATTGAAGTTTTTTCTATTTGAAAAAGATACACAACTTCCATGTAACTTGAAAACTGTGTCTACAAACGGTTCAATTAAAAAACTATACTTAGTTGGAACATAAGAACTTTCACACAAGTCTAATTTTGAATGATGATCAATTAATTTGAAAACATTTTGCGTCGAAATTACGAATGCTTATAGTCTTTATAAACATAAATATTCCAAAATTTTCTGTAGTATAGATGATTGTAGTTATTCTTCCAATATGGACAATTAAACGATATACCTAGTGAGATGTCTGGGTCGGATTGACTTCACTTTATTCGAGCTACAGTTGTAATTAAGGCAATTAAAGCTTAAATTATTACAATATTCCTTTAGAAAACAGAATCTGATGGCATTAAAAATGGAATTAAGCAGAAATACAGTAAAGATGATGCGAAATATTAACCTCGGACTACGAGCCTTTCGAAAAAAGAGAGATCATTTATTAAATGCTTGTTTAATGAACAGCATGTCAAAAAATGTCGAGTTTATATCTTGTATTCAGATACAAAAAAATTATATCGAAAAGAAGTACAACTGTCAAAACGACAGAATGTATGTACTCACGAGCCAAGAAACCAGCAGTACATTTCGTTTCTACAACACGAAAATTACCCTCATCGGTGACGATTCAATTGGGAGGATCGTATTTGGGATTAATTCAACTCTTTTTTTTATGAAAAAAAAGCTCTCTCCAATGCAAAAGTCTACCAAAAGACGGTTTTAAGGAAGATTGTCCAGCCTAAATGATTGTCAAGTCAAACAAATTATAAACAAAAACATTGGCTGTTCCAACAAGGCTCGGCGCTAACGCATAAAACCAAAAAGTACACAAACTTGATTAAGCATGAATAAAATTGATTTCATATGAAATAAAGATTGGTCTCATCTAGCCTAGATCTTATAAAATATGGCAATATATAGAGGAAAAAGTATGTACAGTGTCCTCACAATATTAAGTCTTCACTCGTGAAAACAGTATTGTATATAATCGTGGCACGCACAATACTCATGCCAATATTTGTCATACCTATAAACATGAGCGGCGCGCGTGCCGCGATTGATGACTGACCAATAAGGTTGAGGGCCTGTATTCAAAATCAAGGGGGACATCTTGAAAGAACTATATTAAAATATCTTTATTTTTTTATTTTATGCCTTAATATCTGTATGAAGAAATTTAAGAACTAAGTATAATCTATCAACAAAAAATTCAAACAGGCTAGCTTACTTTTGTTCTGGTCTTAAGCTGTTTGAATTTCTTGTCGCGTAGTCATATTTAATTAATTTTTTTGCAAAAACTGTTCTTTTATTTGATTACAATATAAAATATTATCTAAGCATATCTATTGATCTTACGAATGGGAAAATTTAATTATTCTAAATTAATAGCTTCGATCAAAATTCTTTTTCAAATACTTTTTAAGGATAACCGGAAATTTCTGTTTGGTATTTTACCAAAATAGATAATGTAGTCAGACTTATGCTTATACCAAAGAGAGATAGAACATTTACTTACGTTGAAAAATTCTTAACATACTCATTGTCGTAAACATAAACAGATCTAGAGATATAAGTATAAATTTGTAATTGTCTTTAAGTACGAAATTAATTATTAATGATATTGTCATTTTTATATCATTTTTAGTAAGTAGTTACGATACTTACATATATACCATCAATAAATTTGATATTCTTTGTCGGAGAAATTGTTCTACGTAAATGAAGATTTTTCATACAGATACTACGTACCTACATGCTTCATTGTAATACCTAGATATCTTTTATTTTCTGATATCAAAAATACCTTAATTACTGAGCTCACAATAAAGTTATATTGCAATAAAAATGTCTTAAATAACAACAAATTCATTCAATAGAAGTGAGAAAACACAAAGTTCTTAGTTTTGCGTAGGTATATAGATTTAAGTACATACGCACGCACGTGATTTATCAAGGTGCGTATGTATGTAGGTATTCTTTACTGGTACCTAATCGGGTTACTGTATAACATATCGTCTGTGAATGGACGATTTTATTATTTGGGATTAATTGCAATAAATAAAAATGACAGAAACGTAACCGACTTGAATTTAAAAAGCCCCATATCTATATCGCAATAATTGCTGATTTATCCTATCTGCATATATCATCTTAATTGCAGAGCATAGGTCTCTTCCTCGATGCGGGTTATTACTCTTCCCGTAAAACATTGAGATCGATTCTAAGACGCTGTTTTTTTAAACCTATTTATAAAACTAAAATATCAATTTTATATAATAGAGAAATCTTTATTCTAAGGATCAATATGAATTAAATTTATAATAGATTTCGGTTAAAATTATTATTAGTTTATGATACTCCATACAACATAGCAACGGTTACCAGTTTCCATCAGGTAAGCCGTCCGCTTGTTAAACCATTCTAAGCTGTATAAAAAAAGCCATTTTGCGGAAGTATCAAATTAAAATATTAGGCAAAGTTAGGTTAAGAAGTAGGTTTAGAGAAATGGCTCTACAGAATCGGCCCGACTATGCAGGCAACTTGATATCTACTATAAAGTTTTATTTCGAGTTCAGAGTTTTGGTTCTAGTCGCCTCCCACAATATCTAAAAGTTTAAAAAGTTCTTGTGTATTATATTGTACGTATTATTAGATATGTATTTGTATGTGAATAGTAAATTTACGTTTAGATACAAATCATATCATTTCGACAGAGTCGCTTTTCACCTTTAGTTTTGTATTTATATTAGCACCAATTAGGTAAGCAGGTAGATTTTTTATTACTTGTATTCACTTTGTTTTGATAGCATAAATCGATGATGACGGTATTAACAAAATAACAACAATATTTGTTGAGAGACAAACAAAAGAATTAATTACACCTACTCAGTCTTCCTGCGCAACTGCGCACACAAAGTACTTTCTGACCTGCAAAGTACTTTCGCACCTGTACAAGCAGACTTTTCCAGTAAACTAAAATACACACCATATGGCCACGTTATTACTTTTCACTCCACTGAAGTCAGTAAATGCAAAAAAATTGTTGTTTTTAATAAGAGATGTTAAAAACAAGTATCTTAATATGGAGAATTAACTCAGTTAAGTATAACTATTTTGAAACGCAGATTGACTTATTTACATTTTTAATAACAGTTTTCACTAAAAATTATAGAACTTCTATGTGCCTGCACAATAATCATTTGTCGTGAAACATTTTTTTTTGATCTTTGATAAATTGCTTGAACCGATTATTATCTCAATGATCCCAATGTAAGTGACATATAAATGTAGATAACTTATCTGTTTATTATCGTTATAAATAAAGTGTTGTTTATGCATCCAAAGTCAACGGATTTTTATTTTTTATTAAATCATTCAATGATTATCCATCTAGTAAGAAATACGAACGCATTAGAAGTATCTAGGTATTTAAGGGTATTACCAGAAAACTTTTAAGATCCAATAAGCGTAGTTTCTATCTATAGCAGCTATTCTAGAGGAACTGAAAAAAAAAGTAAATAAGTAGGTATAAACAACGGATAAGTACATTTACAATTTGAGCATTATTTGTAATAGTCTAAAGACCAATTCGGATTCATCAGATCTGGCGGCTCCTGTAATTGTAATACTTATGTACAATCAATAAAACAAAAAAAATATTAATATAAATTTTAATGAGAATGTAAATAGGTAAAAAAAGTATACATAATTGAATTTTACAAATTTTATTACATAACTTTTAATTGCAATTTTAATTGTAAATTTCCTAACTTTTGTAAAATAGCTACGTACACATCTATACCATTGAGGAAGGTGTCAACGTTCAAATACTCATTGGATCCGTTTACATTAGATTTTGTATGAGTTATAGGCGCAAATCCAATCGCAGGTATGCCTTTATTTCGCATTACGACCATATCTGTAGTCCCCGGGCATACCACTGGAGTAATTTGAATACCCCTGCAATAAATAATAAGCATAAAATATCAGTATTTTTAAAAAATATAAATTAATTTTTTACTTTTAAATTTATTATATTGCTGTATCTGTTACTAATATAATACAGTATGTAAATACATTTCTGAAAGAGATTGTAACTTATAAATTCAAGTTAAGACTTGTGTAGGAAGCGTTTTTTATCGACATTCATGAAATCCATTCAGAGTTTGGCCAAAGAAAAAGCTGAAAGCATCTTTGAAAAATATGTACAAAATTAGTAGCAATAGTAGGCCGCTAGCACTAACCTCAATATATGATAAAAGTTATCGAAGGTTGTCTTGTTCATTGTAACTACGATTTTTTTATTAAAAATTATATATAAAATTTAGGACTTTAAATATTGTTAAAGCATTGAAGAAAAATAAAGTACTTAATGTGTTTTTCATTCTCTAATTGTTTGTTCGTTGCGTCACCCACACACACACACATATTTCTTTAGGAAAAAATCTAAAAATATATTTACATATTATTGATAGCTTCTTTCATAGCAACCCAATACTTGTTACCATCGAGTGGTGTCGCTGCTGATTCCGTGACATATCGGGCGAAAGTCAATTCAGTTCCATTACCAGCCTGTTCTGCCCAATTCTTTACCTACGAAAAATTTATATAAATTAACAGGGAATAAAATAGAGGTTTTAGATGGTTTTAAGCCATCTTCCTAAAACACTATAAAGCAAAATCGCTGTCCCGAGTCTTTCTGATTCTCCACTTGCTTCTAAACCACCACGTAAAGGGTTTTCTTTATTTATTTAAACTTTAATGCACAATGTACATATATGTACATTTGACAGATGTAACACCGGATGGTGTTCTCTACCAGTCAACAATTAAGCACACTCAGAAATAGGCGGTGCATTCATAAATTGGGGAAACATAAAGTAATATTGAACATATTCATATATTATAAACATTATGATTAGACTAATATAAACGTACACAAAATACGTATCCGTATGCGCATACGTATTACGGTATTTATGTATATAACATTATATACATAAATCTCGTAATATATTATTATAAATAAAAATAAACACTTTTTGCAATAATAAATATATATTGCAGTTTTCACAGTAATTTAGTTATTTCACGTGTTCAAAAGCGAAATATCCCTGTGTTCCACTCTGTTAGCACAACTGATTTTAACTATAAGTACAAGTTTTGGTAACTGCAATTTTAATGACAGTATATCCTTTATCACCTGTATAGGTAGTAGGTAACATTTTAATTTAAATGTTAACAGAATTTATCAAAATTATAATTATTTATAACTAGCAGCTATTGTACCTATTCTTCACATAAAGTACAATAAAACTACATTAAATCATGTGATAATTCAGGATCGGTATGATTTATTTGTGTATCAAATTTAATATTTTCCGTCTTTTTCCTATGCATGCAGACTGAGTAAAATGTCCAAAGATATTATTAATTTTATATTGATAATTTCACATTTACTATATTAGTATAGCAATCCGCCCTGATATCGCGCGACTACGTACCCGCCAAGGCGGATCTATGTGAATGGAGAGATAAATTAGTATTTTATATTAGCATATTATTAGAAATCACTCATGTAATATATACATACATACATATATATATACATACATAAACAATAAAATATCTCTTTATAATACCTACAAAAGCATAAATAAATAATAATTCATACCAAATCTAACATAGCTTCAGCATCTGCAGATGTGGCCAGTCTCATATCTATGACTGTCTTTATATCAGTAGGTACTATATTCGAAGCCAATCCTCCCTGTAATGAATTAATAACTAATTTTACTTCAAGACAGCACCACGACATATAGTTTACTATCCTGACATAGAATATTAGCGACATTACAATCTGTCATATAAAATTATATTTAATTTTCCGGTGATGAGAAATGAAGAAAAATCTTTTAATGAACTGAAATAATGAAAGACACAATGACAGGTTCTCTCCTGCTACATTTGATTGTTCAGCGGAATAATATGAGCATGACGATTAGATAGTATATGACGTAGACTATAATATTAGCAGTCAACAAATGCCTTTGACTTTGAATCAGGGTTTAGAGATTACAGTCATGAGCGTATTTTTTTAAAACCACTTTAAGTTTAACATATTTATACTACTATTAGCTATGCCCCGCGGCTTTGTCTAAATGAAACTAAAAATAGCTTACGAGTATAGATATGTTCATCTAGAATATGACTTCTCAGACTAGATGACTTATAGAGGGATAGGGATTATTAGTAATAAGAATCTAACAGCTTTATTGTTAGCAATATACCCTATCAGATCAACCTCCACGCGATTCTGCCTGGAAAACATTCTTGTGAAATTCGTCACGATGCACTTATAGACCTGCATTTATCCACATCCACACACAGGATTGATACCTGCTGCAGATTTTCACCATCGTACAACCCGCCATAAACTAAAATTTCATCCCAACCATCTGGACGAGTGGCGGTCCTCCACCGTGCGTTTTTCAAGGCACTTTCTCCCACGCACAACCACTCTTTGGAATCAACTTCCAGCAGCAGTATTTCCGAACCGATACGACAACATAACCTTCAAGAAAAGAGCATATTCCTTTTTAAAAGGCCGGCAGCACACCTGCAATGCCGTAGGTGTTGTGGGTGACCGTGGGCGGCGGTAGTCACTTACCATCAGGTGAGCCGCATGCTCGTTTGCCCCCTGTGTTGTAAAAAAAAAAAAAAATCTATCATTCCATACTGTTGTCCGATAGTGCAGGCGGAGTTACCATTTCATTATCACCCATTAAAAAGAAGTACGACTAAATATTTAATTAATGGAGAATTAATTCATCGCTAATTAAATAGGTAATGATTATTTCCATTATGTGATAAACAAGTAGTACCTACACGATAACGATGACTTATGGAAACTAAGCGTGCAAAACCAAGGAAAAAGTCTTTTCATAACCTATTTGCAGAAAATCTCTCTCAAAATCTATTTGCAGAAAGTCGTCTGAAATCTCACTTTTCATAATTGTAACACTCTGTTGATGATAAATCATGGGAAAAGGAGTTGATACTGTTTCCATCTATAGGTGACATTTATACTACTTTTTATAAGGCTGTCAGTTTGTTTGCTACTCAAATTGTATAAATAAATTAAAAGTAGTTGTAAACATAGTGTCTAACTACTTCTTAACGTTTCAATTAAATGCAGGCGACAAAACTCACAGAAGAATTCAAAGTTTTCTAATATTTCACACAATTGTTTTCTTAAGTTAGCTAAATAGCTAAATGATTCGTCTAAAATAATATGATAAAACACACCTGAATAATGTTAATATTTATCGTATTATAACTTCCGTAGTCTAATGCATTATTTGCAGCCATACGTTCTTCTTGTTCGGTTCTAAATTGTATTATAATACTGATCAACTTTTGCAGCTGTAAAACAATAGTTGTTAAATAGAAGAAAACCATAATAACAGACAGTTGTTGAGCAACATATATATGTAAGTTAAAATTTTTTAAATTATATATTCGAATACCTTCTCCACAGCGCTTCCATTTGACAACACAGAACCGTGACCACTTGGACCGTTTAGTTTAAATTTCATTGCTGAAAAGGAATTGAATTCGAGTTTTTCACTAATATATAAAATAATATATAAAAAATATATAATAATAATATATAAAATTCTCGTGTCGCGGTGTTTGTTACCAAACTCCTGCGAAACGGTTTTGTCGATTTTTATTAAATTTTGTGTGCATATCGGGTATGTATGAGAATCGGCCAACATCTATTTTTCATATCCGTCAATGATAAGGTTTTTTTTTATTTTTTTGACAAAATTTTTTTTTATTATATTTTAGCATTGAAAAATAGATACAACTTCAAATTTTCACCCTTTTACGATCAATCTCTGTTTTTTAATCGCGGTTTTTATATTCCGCAACCGGGTTACAAGATGGAAATCGAATATAATAATTGTAGTACGATAAATTTTCATGTATAGTTCTAGAAATATATGGTAAAACAACGTTTGCCGAGTCAGCTAGTAAGTATATAAATAAATAAAAGCGTCCTATCTGCAATTCGGGTAATGCATTTCTATCCCGTTTTTTAATATTTTTGTGTAAAACTGACGTGTAGTATGTTGTGTATAAACTTTCTCCATGATTTGTCTACTATGTATTTCAAAACTAGATTTTAATATTACTCACTCCATGGCCTTTTATCTTGATATGTGGCAAAAAAATAGTCAGCACTAGAAACGAGTCCTTCATCCAATGCAAAACCCACATTGAGTGCTTCAAACTCAGCTGTCTCCGCAAAAGGTATCATTCCATTGAAGCCGCCCGTTTCTTCGTCTATAATGAAATGAATAGAAAGGATACAAAATAATGTACCAGTAATGTTTTAAAGTTGTTCAGCGGCTTCTCCGCCCAAACCCTCACCTCCTGAGAAGCAAGGGATTGTTAGTAATAATTTCTAACAGCTCCTTATCTAACAATATACCCTATCAGGTTAACTTCCACCCGATTCCTCCTAGAAACTATCACGGTTAATTTGTGTTATGAGAAACTACAAAACGAACATCTTTTTGTAATTGGTTTTTGAGTAGGTATACAAAGATTGCAAGAAAGCGTGCAAGAACCGAAACAAAAAAATATATATATGTATGTAATTAAATATAAAGATTTGCACTCTGCTGACGAGTTTATACCAATAGCTTAGATTACATAGATAAAGTGTCTCAATACAAAAGCTTCGAGAAAAGCGGGTCAACTTTTTTTTTTATACAATTTTGCGTTACACGTTAGACTTTGGAGGTGTTTAAGGAAAGACGCTGCTGTCCATCTCTCGACCATAAAGTTCCTTGTCTCTTATAACGCATACGGGAAAGGAAAGGAATATAATATCTTAGTACTGAGGAAAGAAAACAAAAGTTTTTCATGTGTGTCACTAGTACAGAATACTTTGATGTCCATGGTACTGTTCATATCAATAACCGACGATCACCACTTTCCATCAGGTGTGCTGTCAGCTTACTTGCCAATACTAAGTGAGATAAAAACCCTTCTTAAACGATATATATTACTCACCCGGCATTAAAGTAAGATGAAAAGTTCGCTCAAGAGTTACATTGTTGTTTCTAAGTTTTCTAATAGCTTCCAAATACTGTATAGCGATATCTTTGGTGTCTTGCGTACCACGGCCATATAAGTTCCCATTATCATCTATGTGACCAGCAAACGGAGGATAGGTCCAATCTGTCTATAATAAAAATATTTTTATTATTTTAAACAATTCCACTATCCATACAATTATTATAAATATAAATTAGAGTTTTTTTTTTTTACTTCTTGGTATTTTAACCACTCCATTAATCGTCATTATTGGCAAACAGGAACTATTCGGGATGAAAAAGGATATAGGATATTTTTTACCCCAGGCAATCGATATAATCCATTTCACGTGGACGACTTCGCGGGTAAAAATTTAATAATTAAGTATTGTTTGGGATGACGAGGCTAAGCCGAGTACTAAAAAAATAAAGATAATAGGTATATAATTATTTGCCCGGTAATTGGTATTGTTATCGTGTTGGTGATAAAAAAAACAGTTCACCAATTTCCATTAATGTCGTCATAAAAGTTGTTGGCATAATTAATACGTTAGGTACCAAATTTACGGATTAAAGTATACGAGTATATGTATTATTACTTTTGCTTAGACTAACTTTTGCTAGCTATGAGGCCGCTAGTTTTTTTTTACGGGTGAAAATGTTATGGTAACCCCGCCCGCGCTAACGGGATACGCTGACGGAGCACCAGTGTAGATGAGAATGAAAACAGGCCAGTTAGCCCATCATGATGAATTCATCAGGAATTAACCATGATAGTTTCCAGGAGGAACCGCGTGGAGGTCGACCTGGTTGGGTATATTGCTAGCAATGGGATTCTCAGTCTCCATTACTAACAATCCTTTTCCCCCCTGAGGCCGCTAGTTAGGTAGTTTAACCTGACTAGCGGCCTCATTGCTACCCCTCGTGGTCCTCCCTGGAAACCATGTGGATATTTCTTAGTGAATTTGTCACCATAGTCCAACACATCGGGGGGAAAGGGATTGTTAGTAATGGGGTCTAATTGACCCATTGCTAGCAATACACCCTTTCAGGTTGACCTCCACGCGGTTCCCCCTGGAAACTGTCGTGGTTAATTCTAGTGGAATTCGTCCCGATGGGCTGACTGACCTGCTTTCATTCTCACCTGTCATCCTTCACTGGTGCCCCGCCAGCGTATTCCGATAGCGCTGGTGGAGTTACCACTCCATTATCACCCATAAAAGTCCCACACATCTGCTTTCATTCTCATTTTTCATCACTCACTGGTGCTTCGCCAACGTTCACCGTCGTAATCGCTGCGACTTGTAAAATAATACCTACTTAATAAAAAAAAAGCACTAGGCACTATACTATCAGTACTAACAGTAATACTGCGTCAGTGTATAATACATCATCATATCATTATCTGTTCACTGCTAAACATAGGCCTCCCCATAGACTGCCATAAGGAATAATCAAGCATATGGCCCACCTCATGGTAAGTGGTTATCGAAGCCCATGAACGCCTGCAATACCAAGGGTCTTACGCGCGCGTTGCCGACTCTGAAGAAACCTCTTTACCTCTCTCTTTTTTAAGAACCCCACGCTGTAGATTTGAATAAATTTTTAACTAACTTCATATACAGTGACGACATCCATATGCGAATTCAGCATAATACTGGGTAGTGTCGTATTGGAACCCTCCCAAGTAATAACACAGACCGGTTTACCGGTCGGACGGTGCACAGCAAATGGTAAGCCAAGTTCATTTGCTTGCCGACGCCAAAATTCCACGGCAAAATCTAAAACAAAAAATCCGCACAAAACGCGTCGTGTTCTGTTTATGTAACTAGGTAGAACTTATACTCGAATCTTATTAATAATAATGTACGAGTATGCAGTGAATTATGCGTATATAAATAGAAAATATACCCATTTATTTAATTTTCTTAAGCTTTTCTTTTAATTTTTTATATAAAACACATTTTTAATATGTTATATTAGAAACATTATATATTCAGAGATGTTTTATAATTAATAAAGAAAGACCATCTCTGCATCAAGGCCCAATGGTATACTATAGACTTATAGACCGCTCTGGTTATGAATGTGTACGCAGTATACAGCAAACATTATATTTTTCGGCGGTGAAACTCCAATAAAAAAAATTTGTTTGTGTGATGGTGGTAGGCTTGCCTTCAGCTACGTTGGATGTAGGTATGTTTTGCAAAATGTGGGCATATCGAATAACTAGGTGTCATTCGATATACATATATACGATAATCGGTCACAATTTTTTTTGAAAAAAACAGAAATGTATATTGGTATATTGATATTAGACAACGGATACTTCTTTTATGATGCTTAAAATAGCATCATAAAAGAAATATCCGTATAAATAGGCCTACTTGATTAAAAGTGGTACAGAGTATATTGTGATGCCTATGGTACCCCTCATGAAATATCATTTATGAGGATTTTGTTGTTATGCATCCATACCATGTAATTCTTTTAAATACACGAGTAATACAACGTTTATGGGCTGCTATAACCAGTTAGTAGAGAAATTCTTGGGGATCAAAAATGTGTTAATTCCCTCCCTTTCTGTCGCGAAATAGTTAAATAGAACACTTTAAGGAGGCGAAGAGACTGTTATTGTGGGGTTTAACAGACCCATTGCAGTTTTGAATTCATCACGATGGGCTAATTTGCATTCATCCTCATCTATCATCTGCCTCTTGTACCTCGTACAGGCGGGGTTATTATTCCATTTTCAAGCCTCCTCCCAATAAAAAATATACCCTATCAGGTCAATCTATGCATGGTTCCTCCGGATAACCACAATGGGTTATTTCTGATGAGTTCACCAAGATGGGCTAATTAATTTAATTTCATTCTTCATAATATTGCCATCTATAGTTGGCGAGATGCCTCACTGGTACCTTACCAAAGTATACCGATAGTGAATGCGGGATTACCATTCCATTTGCATAACATTAAAATACCACTTTAAATATTATGTATATCTACAAATAGTAGACCATCAGATATTTAATAATTTTAGAAAAATTTACAAATATAGGTACTTACGTATATTATTTTCCTGGCTCGTGTCAATTTGTATGTACTCTTGAAACCTCTTTATTGCTGGAATTTCGTGATAGCATTGCGACGGGTAGTTTTTTGGCAGAGGATTCGCAAGAATAGCATGTAAGCCGAATATAATACACAAAAATCGTACCGGCAACATGCTCTCAAATAGGTAGTAAAGTGAATTCTAAAATAAAATAAACAATTATATATGTATGCCTATTTAGACAAACGTAACAATGCAAGTATTAGGATACTTTAGATCAGAGCAGCTAGTGAACCACGATCCACTTGTAATTGATATAAACATTCAGGTAAACTGAAAATGTAGGTAACTAGATAAGGTAATGTACCTGTATATGTAATAAATTAATAACAACAACAAAAGATGTAGTTAATATTTTTGAAGATTTTTTTGCTAATATTCCGATTGATATTACATCTTCTCTGGACTCATCTCAATCTCGAGCAAAAAAATTACTAGAGACTAATATCGGTTGTTGTTCTTTAAGATTTAAATTTTCACATGTTAGCCCCTTTCATATCATAAAAATATTCAAACAGCTAAATTTAAAAAATACGGAAGACCTTTGGGGCATGTCTGTAAAAGTAGTTAGTTCTTTCATAGATATTGTTGCTCCATATCTAGCCACTATTTTTAATAAATGTATTGATAATGGCGTTTTTCCACATTTAATGAAATTTAGCAAATTAATCCCACTATTTAAATCAGGAGATAAATTTGAGCCAGGGAACTATAGACCTATATCTATTTTGCCAGTACTAAGTAAGGTGTTTGAAAAGATAATGTTAAATCAAATGTTACATCACTTCAGGGTTAACGGACTGCTTCACAGTCAGCAATATGGTTTCACCGCCGGCAAGTCTACCACTGACGCAGGTGTTGCGCTAATGACACATATTTTCGAATCTTGGGAGAGGTCACAGGATGCACTCGGAGTTTTTTGTGACCTATCAAAGGCATTTGATTGTGTGGATCATAAAACGCTTTTGTACAAGCTCGAACATTATGGTATAAGAGATAATGATCTAAAATTAATGAGAACTTATTTAGAGGATAGGGTTCAAACTGTAGATATTGACGGTGTAAAATCTAAGGGAGCTAATATTAAGATGGGCGTTCCACAAGGGTCAATCTTAGGCCCCTTTCTCTTTTTAATCTACATAAATGACCTTCCCTTTATGGTAGAGAAAATTGCAGATATAGTGCTGTTTGCGGATGATACTTCGTTAGTGTTTAAAATTGGACGTCAAAGTAATCAATTAGACGATGTAAATTGTGCTATGTCTGCAATATTAAATTGGTTTACATGTAATAACCTATTATTAAATTCCAGCAAAACAAAGTGTATAAAATTTACACTTCCTAATGTAAGACTAATAAATACACAGTTATTGCTTAATGACGAAATAGTAAATTTTGTTAATGATACAGTTTTTTTAGGTATAACAGTGGACTCGAAATTACAATGGGGGCCCCATATTTCAAAATTGGCCAGTAGACTCAGTTCTGCTGCATATGCAATTAGAAGAATTAGGCAATTAACAGACGTGGCGACGGCTAAACTTGTATATTTTAGTTATTTCCATAGCATAATGTCTTATGGCATACTGCTGTGGGGTAAAGCAGCCGATATAAATACTATATTTGTTTTACAAAAGAGAGCCATACGTTCTATTTATGGTATGGGTTCAAGAGAGTCATTACGTCAGTGCTTTAAAGACTCAAATATCCTCACAGTTACTTCACAATACATTTATGAAAATATTATGTATACACGGAAGAACTTAGCGAGTTTTAAAAAACTCAAAGACTGTACAAGTAGAAACTTACGCAATATAAATAAGCTTATTTTACCTAAATGCCGTCTGCACAAAATCAGTAATTCATTCTATGGTAATTGCATAAGATTTTATAATAAACTGCCGGAATCTGCATTAAATCTGACAGAGAGGCAATTCAAATCTTATATTAAACAATTTTTATGTAAGAAAGCCTATTACAGGATAGACGAATTCATAGATGACAACATATCAAGTAAATAATTAGTTTATTAGCATACAACGTTATAATTTTATTTTCTCATTGCTTTCTTGATTTAATTGATTAATTTTAGAAATATGAAAGCGTAGCGGTTTTTTGTATTAATTGCCGCATGCATTCTTATGTAAAATGTGAATACTATAACTATCAGATGGCAATTGTGAGTAGCTTTGACGTGGTCTAGTGTTTTGAGTAGTCATGCTCACTAAAATGTCCAGACTTGTGGCGGCGTGGTGGGCCGGGTCATTGGGCTCCCTAAAATATGGTCGAGCGCAGTGATGGCTGGCTCATCCGTCATACTCGTGAACGGGTGCTGCTTGTAGGGACTGGTCTGCTCTAATCACTATGACTGATTTCCTCTTATTAATTGTTTAACCAGTTGGTTATGTATTCAATTTTTTTTTCTTTTTGAGTATTTAATTGAATTAGTGCTAATTGGTGGTTTGTATTCACACAATTAAACTTAAAAATGTAAAATAATAATAAAATTATTTAAAAGAGCATCACGCAAGTTTCTTGCTCGTTCTTCTTGTGATGAGACAGCTTTCCGAACGAGCGGTAAATTAAAAAAAATGTAATGACTTTTCAAAAGTGCTTCAATGTAAGTTTATTTGAATAAATGATTTCTATTCTATTCTATTCTATTCTATACTGTCTAATATCTCGACATCAATCAGTACTTCTAAAGAAAAATATAAGATTTATCATATAAATATTTTTTTTAATCGAATAGCAACCTCGTCCGCGCTATCGATATACACTGGTGGGGCACCAGTGAGTAATAATAGATGAAGATGAAAAGACAGGTCAGTTAGCCAATCTTGATGAATACACTTGGAATTCAGCACGATGGTTTCCACGTGAAGGTCGACCTGGTTAGGTATATTGCTAGCAATGGGACCTTTAGTCTTCATTATTAACAATCCCTCCCTCCCTCATATAACTATTGGATTGCCACCTTTTATTTATTAACAACTACAGTAGTCAGTAGTGTCATTAAACTTTGCGGTGTACCATAAAATATGTGGGTAAAGATAAATATACTAAGCAATAAAATCTTTTATACATATTTAAATGTTATCTTTATTACACATAGCATATTCTGTAGTCATTCAACAAATACTAAAAAAATATTATCTCACAAGATGCGTCCACGTGACATCGTTCATGTTGATCGGAATAAAAAGTAGCTTATGCTATGCACTATATTAAACTATATCGCGCAGTTTCGTCCATGGTCATATTGTGACGTTAAATAGCCAAATTGCATAAGAATTGGTACAGCTGTTAAACGTCAAAAGCTATTAAATAAGTACACTTTCACATTGTCACGTTTAATATGAAATTAAAATAACAAATAGCTAATTTAAAATAATTATTTATATTTTTTTTTTTATTGTCATTATATGGTGGGTTTTATAGGAGAGAAATCTAGGTGTGGCAGGGATAACGAAAAGGATATAAGGACTCACCGTCTTGTCATGGGCTATCATATGAGGTCTTGTGCAGGCGCCTTGATTCCTTCCGTCACTTTATCACCAATGTACACACACTAAAATATTGTCTATTAACACAGCACTTCAAATTTTATGAAAGCGGCAACGCTTTAAATGTTTACAGTAATGAGGTTGTTAAAACATTACTAATAATCCCTTTCCCCCTAGAACCCATACTGTAGGCTCTAGAGAAAGTGTGAAGTAAATAAATATTATATTAATTTAAAGGTATGTGTGTTCATTCTTTATAGATATATCTTCTCAGGGAAATAAGGATACAAGGAATGTCATGAAATATCTCTTAGCCATTAGTGTATTTTTCCAGGCTTTTATAATGGGTGAACATGTAATGATAATCTCGCCTGCGCCATTAATATATGCTGGCAGGACATAGTTAATCCATTGTAACGAATTCTACAAAATTTAACCACAATTTCCAAAAGGAATCGCGTGGAGATCGATCTGATAGGGTATATTGATAGCCAGCGGTGGCTTTAAGGGGTGGCGAATAGGGCAATCAGCCGGGGCCTTTTTCGCTCTTGCAGGGGCCTCACGTAACAACCCAAGCAAATTTTAAACAACCAGTGAGTGGCATTTTGTTTAGTGGCAAGTTGCAAAAACTTTCCGATTTAGGCATTTTAATCACGAACAAACAAATTACCAACACTAAAATAAACTAAAAATATACAAATAAAAATATCTATTGTAAAAAAATGTAAAATAACACAGTTTTCTTGAATCAGCGGAAATTTTTCAATAGTTTAAAACTCAAATTTTGATTATTTGTCTAACTTTAACATGTCTCGTCAAACATGACAAATGCCTAAATCAAACAACAAGACCTAGTTTCGTATCACATACTTTTTACGAAGGACAAAAGGCCTTGCAAAGACCTACCACCCGAGCCTTACAATGAGTCAGGCCGCCGCTGTTGATAGCAATGAGTTTGTTAACACCATTATTTACAATCCCTTTCCCCTATTTTCTAGGATGTAGACTCCCCTACCTGATCTCAAAAGTTTCTTGAATGAATTTTAGTTACCATTTATATTAATTATAATTTATACGAATCTCATCGTTAATCTGTGTCCACAAACTCCATGACTTTCTTTGTAATTTTAACAAAAAATCGATATCTTTTCCATTTTATTAAATTTGGTGATATGACGTATCTTTTAAATTTTAAAGTATTGTAGTACGTATTCTATTACAATATATATAATAATGTACACTATCGAGACTTAATGCTTGAGAAATTTTCTTTGCAGGTAAATAGCACCTACATACCTGCTTCTTTATTGTCGACGTTTCGACGTGGATTACACCACAATATACGATATAGATATACCTACCAAAAAGTTACGGAAAATTTTTGGTTATTATTATATACTTGCACTTAGTCTATTTCAATATAATTTAGTGGGAATGTAAACAAACGAATAATTGTCCCGACCATAACACAATTTTTTTATGTCCAATAGTAGTAAAATAAAAAACTTATTAAATGACTGAATATTTACAATTGTCACTAATTATATGTAGAGAGCGTTCATTAACTTATTATTAAGTTCTATCGTAACAATACCGTATTCCCATATGGGAACAGCACATTAAATTTGCGTGCAATTTTAAGCTAATTAAACAGATGCCAAAAAGTTTTGTCATATGTTAAATGTCTGTTTAAAGCAAAATAAATATTTCAAATATTTCGTTTCATGTTATTGTTTACAATGTAAATTAAAAATACAAATATAGTTAACAGTAACGTTTATTATTAATCTATTCTGATGTATTAATGCTTTCATTAAAATCTACCATGGTGCCATCGTGTTCTATAGAACTTTCGCTTTCCATCATTTTTTCTTTGTAGCCTTTAACGTCGTCCAGTGCAGAATATACAGCTTTCTTTTCGATTTTAGTAAGAATTTTCTTATCATGGAACGAATGGTTGTGAAGATTTGCCCTGTTGATTTACAATCGTATTATTTAACTGGATCATGAAGCAACTGTTTAAAATTAATAAAAAATAAAAATAAGCGAATAGCTATGTTGCACCAGATTAGTTGGAAACGGATTTATTGGTAGAAATGATTTCTTATTGAAATAAGTGTATTATCTTGCGGAAGTATTATTTTGTTTAATTTCATTACCAAAAATATGTATGTGTCTACTAACACTCGAAAATTGACCACCACTATTGCCACCAGAAACTTCACAACCTTCCACAATAGTCACTAATCTCCGATCACCATTTTGTTCATTGAAGATGCCTCGTTTAGAGGTGAAACACGTGTTACAAAAGGTGCGTGAATAAAATGGCAATCAGAGATTGATGGCTAATATGCAATAAAGAACTTCTGGTAGTAATAGTGGTGACCAATCTTCGAATGTTGGCATTTACACACACACTAATGATAGCGGAATTAAATAAAATCATTCTATTTAATTAATCAGAAATGATTTGATTGTGGCGCCCATTAAAAAGAATAAATCGCCAAACGTTGCTATCTCTTACATATGACACCAATAACATATTTATAGATAGAATCATATGCTACTTGTCTAAGGAGGTTGATCTATAATTGTACAATAATCTTTACCTGTTTAAAACGATGTTGTCTTTGGTAACCACAAAAGCCATGCACTTGTTGTTGCGGTAGTCGACACATCGCCAACGACGGACGCCGGTGCGGTGAGTGACGGAGTGGAGGTTGTAGATGTATCGATTAAGGATCACCTGCAGCGAGCCGCGGATCGACACGGTAAACTGGAGGTTTGATGATGCTGTTGGACATTAGTTTATTCAGTTAGTCAAAAAGGCGATCGTAAATCTAGTAACAGGATTTATTTAACTAAAAACTTAATAAATCATGGAACATTACATACATTGATCATAGGACCGCATAGTTTATTGATACAAAACTTGTTTTCACTAACACTAACAACTAAAATATCCGCAATTTTGAGACTCTGAGATAAGGATGAGAATTTACGTCATAAATACAAAAACATACCCACAAATATTAAACAGTTACCAACTGACAACACTATCTCTGATCTCATCGAGCTATAATACTTATTGTAGATAGAAAGATCTTGAGGTCGCAGTTTTATTATGAATTTTCAATTCTAAAATACTTTAAAAAGTTCGTAGTTCTATTCAATTCTGTATCAATGTTGATTCTTTTCGCACGCCGACTTTCTCTCGTATAAGTCTCATACAAATTTAGTCAAGATCGAACACGATTTTTTTTTATGGAGTGGAATAAAATCCCTAAATTATTTAAGAAGTGTCCCCAAAAATGATATTATTTCTTTATCTGCATTTATATCTATGCATTTTTCTAAATGTATGTTTTTAACGATTAGATTTTACTATATATAATAAACAAACTTTATAAAATTAACAAATTACATATATTGTGTATCGAATTTTCTTACGTTTAGCTTCAATAACCAATTTCTTATTACTAGTTGGCTGTGCAGCATCCTCATCGGAATCCTGTATCGCACTGTCTTCCATCATGTCAGTGTAGTCGTGAGTGTCGTCTTTAAATGTTGACTGTACTTCAGTTTTAGTCCTGAAATTAAAATATATTGCACTATTATTTTATTATACCTAAAAATTGAAAGATTGATTGATTGAAAATTGATCTTCACGTGGAGTCCCTTGTTGGAAAGGTATAGAGAATCAAATACGAAGGATCTCTATTCTTACATACATTTTTAGGTTCATCTACTTTTAAAATTCATCTCATGCATACACACTGATTCCAAAAACTCTCAGATAAACATGGTTTATATTCCCATTATAAGATAAGACCTATGTATTGTCAGATACCTTGTATTCTAGCAACTTTTAGATATTTCTTTATTATCAAGTATTCTTTATGAAATTTAGAATGGATAATAAAATTTTATTGAACTATTCTTCTATTCTTTGGATATTCTATTATCCTATTACCCAAACGTTTAAACAACGCGCACGTGAAGTGAATTAGGTACTAGATATTAAGCGAACTATGTATTAGGTGTCAGGTAGTTTTAGGATTCTGCCTAATTTAATAAATGTATATTTATCTATTGTTAACTTACTATTGAAATTCAAATTTTATGAGATAGACAAACGGTTTAGTTAAAAATAAAAAATAAAGTAAAAAGTATTTATTAACAATAGATTTTTTTTTATTTAATAGCTCTAAAAATCGGAAACAAAATTTGAGGTCCCAGTAAACTATATTTTTATTCCATACTACCTACTAATATTTTTTTAATACACAATTAGGTAAATGTTTTACTCACGTATAAGGCGTCATGTCTTGTTTAATATAAATTTTTCTGGCAGCTGCTGGCAAACTTATCTGCAAGAAATAATATACTTAATAACTATATCAAAATGTTAGGAGGCACGATTATCTCTTCAGTACATGGCAGAGTGCTTGTAACTTTTTATTAGAAATGTATTTGTCAATCTGTCGCTCAAGATTAATGTCCAGGTTAAAAAATTCGTCATGGTGAGCTAACAAATCTGATTTTATCCTCATCTATTATTCCAAATTGGTATCCCGCTAACGTAAACGTGTGCATAGGGTTATTATTTTATTTTCATGGATTAAAAAAACCTCCACTTATATGTTCTTTGCGTGATATTTATAATTAGCAAAAATATGTTGTAGTTCTAAAAGTTATGCTGTCTATAAATTTTACAGAAAAAATAAAAATAACCCCTATTTTAACAAACAACATTACTACCCCATTACATTATAAGAATAGATGGAGAGAGATTAAGCCACTTACCTGTTCTGTTCCATCACTAGTAGGTACAGCTAACCTTTTAATGCCACTAGCATGACACAAATTTTGTTCTATCTGCGGCATGTTTGTTGCCATTTTGGGATTAAAATTATCAGTACTTGTCTGTAAAACACAGTACAAACCAGTTTATTCAGTTTATCAGAATATTACATATTCATAATAAGAATATCTGGAAATAGGATAATAATAATATACATATATTATAAGGCTAACACAGACAAAAAAAATTGCGCAATTAAAATATTCTATAAAATAAAAATAGTGGAAATCATTCTACTATTTTTATTCATTATAATCAGTAAATATATGAATTTCCATTATAAAATGACAACTCAAAGAGTGCATTTATAAAATGACTTCACAAATTTTCATACTATAATATTTAAATAGGAGTAGGATTATACAAAACATTCTAGCATGCATACACCTTAGAATAAAGTATGTACTTACAATATTTTCAAGGCCTTTTATGTGAAGAGCTCTAGCTGCTTCTCCAAAAGATGCAAATCCATCAGATGGTACAAGTACTTCACCTGTGTATATGTACTCAAGTAATAGGGACAGTGTTTTATGAGAAACATTCTGAAACACACACACAAATAAATATGAATATATAGAAATAGAAATAATAAGTGTTTACAACTAAAACAATTGAAATAGCGTCCAAGCAAAACTGATACCATCGCAGAAATCGATACTTTGGCTATTGTTCTAGTTTCGGCTGAAACCGAATCTTTATTGAGGCAGTTCTTTTAAAATTTTGTTAATTGAGTACTATGTATATATTATGTATTTTTATCAACGGAAGCGGACTTTTATAAATTTATAGCAATACTGTTTAAAAAAATATATTTTATCACACGAGAGAAGAAATACATTCATTTATACTTATAATAAATCTGTAGAGAGGTCAATTCTATACATGAAATATATTTCTAAAATAACTATTAGGGGGTGATTAGTGATCGATACTGATGCTAAAAATGCAATCAGTAAAATTTTTGTCTGTCTGTATGTTCATTATAGAAACAAAACCTACTCCACGGATTTTAACGAAACTTAGTACAATTATTCTTCATACTCCTGGGCAGGTTATAGTATACTTTTCATCACGCTACGATAACCCCTCCTTTTTATGCACCCATCAGATAGAGTTCCTCGAGAGGATCAACTTTGGCTATATTACATTTTTTCGAACATTGTTTCGTTTCTGAGATATATCGATAGGAGAGTAAACCCACTTTTATGCGCCCATTGAATAAGGTTCCTTGAGACGATTTAATTTGGTCATATGATAGTTTTTCGTGTGCCACTCCATTTCCAGTTAAAAATATAATATATATTTCATTATATAAAGAAATATTTCAGGGATAGATAAATGTTTTGAAGAGATTTCCTCCCAAAATATTTTAAACCACAACTAAATACCAGATAATTATTATCACACTATTATGTCTTAAAGTTAAAATAACTTTTATGACTAAGTAATTTAACCAACTACAACTTAGAAAGTTAAAATTTTTTAATAATTAGCATGCACAGGATTACATCAATAATCTACAAATTCTTGATAAGCACTGGCCCTTACTTACAGCAGACTTCCATGCTGCAAGATACTTTTTATTGTTATTGTTAGTAACATATGCTATTAAGTGTATAATAGTTGTGTATGAGACTGCTAACCCCATAACTAAAAATCTATTGCCCTGCACTAGTTACATTAAAAACTGATAGAAACTCACATTAAGAAATAGAATGGGGTGTTGGCCTGGGGCAGAAGTAATAAGTTCCTTTAAGTAAGGGCTTGACAATGCCATTAACACTTGATGAACTTTTACAAAGTGCCCATCTGCTGCAATAGTCATATCTACTAACTCGGCGTTCTGAAAAAAATGTTAAATACTTAATATTTAAATATTAGTAGTGATAATCACATACCTTAAATTATTATACATAAATTATAACAAATGGACAGAAAATACCTGTTGCAACGAGCTGAATCCATTGCATATACTAGTCTTATATGAATTCCATGATAAAGAATACTGAGATTGAACCATAGCTGTTGTTAGTGTTTAACTAAACAATGGTAGTAGGTATACAATATCAAATAGCAATTTGATTAATAACGAATATCCAAATTCAAATAGGTAAGTAGATAATATTTATTTGTTATCTAAGATATTTTATATTAGTTTTCATTTAACAAACAATAGAAAGGTAATATTAAAACGCAAGTGACAGTTAACTGACTCTATACTGATATAATACTGACGTTTATCAAGGTTACTAGATCCGAATTTTGATTTCGTCCATATTTACTTATAAACTTGTGTCAGTTTTTATCACATTTTGCTGCGTCAAAACTATGTGAACGACGAAAACAAGATGCCCATCTGTACACCTTATTTCTTCACCTCACGTTGCTATTTTCATTAATATATTCCATTGAATTTAAATACTAATATACAGTTTAAAAATATCAAAAGTGTCAAATAGTTTACCTATATTTTATATGTTTAATTAATTTTACACCTAATTTTTGGTAAAAATTGTAAATCTCTTTCCCAAAATATCGCAGAAAAAAATGTCTACCCAAAATTGCGAAAACAGTACCTGATGTGGCAACACTGACATGAACTGACATTTTGCCTAGATTTACTCTGATTGATTTAATTTAAGACTGCTACCATTGAATATTAATAGGTACTATTCTTAATCTAAGGTGTCTCCCCATTTCTAGTTTCCCTACAAACTACAAATGGGGAGTAACCAACCAACTAAAATCTATGGTGTCAGGGCAGGTACGAGCAATATAATGCTCTAGGGGGAAAGGGATTGTTGGCAATGGAGTTTGACAGTCCCAACCTCCACGCGGTTCCCCCTGGAAACCATCGTGAACAATTCTTGTTGAATTCGTCACGATGGGCCAACTGACCTGCTTCATCCTCACCTATCATCCTTCACTGGTGCCCCGCCAGCGTATCACCCATAAAAAAAAAAAAAAAAAAAAATATATATATATATATATATATATATATATATATATATATATATATATATATATATATATATATATATATATATATATATATATATATATATATATATATATATATATATATATATATATATATATATATATGTCTAATAAAATGTAAAAAAGAACCGCAGGTAAAGGACGCTATTTAAATAAATCAATAAAGTAAATAAAGTTACTTAATGATCATTTTTAAGCTAGCAGAGATATACACTACAGTATATTGAGCATTCGAAGGTCTTCTTCAGCATGAGTACAGCAATTATCTCGCATCGTCTTGTATCACACTGTGGGCCGCAGCTCGATGAGTCTGTGAAGACCACCGTGAACTACAACGACATCAAGTTCAGATTTGTGAAGATTGTAACGCCTGCTTAATTTTTTCTTAATTAATATATAACATTGTAAAGCATTTAATTTTCAACTGACCTCTCCGCCCTTCCACCCCTGGGTACGGCCGTTTGGAAGGTTATAATTTACATTTTAACTTAAAACCAATATTATGATAATTCACAAAGGTGAAGCAGCGGGATACTAATAGAGGGGGGGGGGGGGGGAAGAATTGTCAGTAATTGGGACGTTATCCTCATTGCTAGCAATATACCATGGTCAGGTCGACCTCCACGCAATTCTCCCTGGAAAACATCGTGATTAATTATTGTCAAATTCGTCGCGATGGGCTTAACTGACCTGACTTCATTTTCACCTATCATCCTTCACTGGTGCCCCGCCAGAATATAGCGATAGCGCAGGTGAGGTTACCATTCCATTATCATCCATTAAAAAAAAAAAGGTAGTTAAGTTAAAATACTATATGACTATTATTACGATGTTTTAATTGTTAAATACAGTAAATATACAAATTAGTTGTAGTCACTGTATTTTAGTTCAAACAGAGTCTTGTTCTGTAGCTTTAGTTATTGATGTAAATATTAAGTTTTGGTTTGCTTTCTTCAGTATTTTATTTCTATGGGACGGATGACGATGTAAGCATTCCCTGCAACAATAATTAGGTATATATCATATAAAACTGTAAAACAAGGACAGTATTAATGGTTTCATAATGATAACTGACAGAGTACATAATAACAGGTATATTGAGAGCAAAGTCTCAATTTTATGCTTTTTATTTAACTTTTTGACAGCCGGCTTAACACAAATGTATTTTTTTTTTAAAGACACTTGTATTTAGAAAATGACGGATAATCGCGACGTTGCCACACTTCGATAACTTTAAGTTATGAATGCTCTTAATGTATCATGATATAAAGATTAATTATAATTACCCAAATCATAGTGCACTAATCAAATATACCGTAAGGTCCCGGTATAGAAATGGCTACCCCTATCTATCCCATGGGTGTCGTAAGAGGCGACTAAGGGAATTTAATGGTCAAGAGATGGACAGCATCGTCTCTCTTAAAACATCATCAAAGCCTAACTGTGCCTGGCGAGCGTGGCATCTACCAATAGTAGCTACCCTTAGCAAGCAGATTGGCAACCGCATAAGGGGTACCGACGCCGCCTCTTCCGTAAGGGAGGTTTTAACGGCAAAATCCCCCTTTTGGGGTGTCGTATGTTTAGCAGTGAATAGTTAACAGCTGATATAATAATAATAAAAAAAAATCAAACACTAACTAGTACTGCAAAGAGTGCTTGCATTTACATTACACTAACTAGCATAGTAGCGGCTGGTGCGACGTTTTCGAAGAATTGATTGGTTTTCCTAATTAACACAATTTGCGTGTTTACCGCTAAGAAATCCACATTTGCTGTGGCTCCACAATTTCAGAACACGCGCGACATCCCTGGCGTTACACACGTCAAAGGCTACGGTAACCTCTTTTACCATCAGACTGACGGTATGCTTATTTGCCACCATAGTAGTGTAAAAAAATATAATATTGAGGATACGTATATGTCTTGAAAAACTATTTTTTTTAGTTAGAATTACTAGTTTTTTTTTTGTTGAGCCAAAGTTGATCAACTTGATTCAGTGTGATTACTTAAATTATTCAAATCTTTTTTACCTGTTCACTATGACTTCGTCATCAGTATCTATAAACGCGGGACATTGTATAGTACGATAGTCTATACATCTCCAGCGACGTTTTCGTCCTTTATTAGCGATGTGATGATTATAATAAATGTAGCCATTCAATATTAATTGTAATGAACCTCTATTCGAAGTGGAGTAACGCGGCAATTGGGTGTCTGTAACAAAAATAATGATACACGTTATTAATCTTTAGGTGCACGCGAATTCGATCGTGTGACCGATATATATTGATTGATTGGCATAAAAAGTACTAGATTATGTTGTTCTCCATCCCAAATAGGTAGTACCTACTCCAAATTTTGTGACAATTAGTTAAGCCCTTATAACCGTTAAAGGTCACAAACCAAGAGTTAACTCTTGGTTTATAAGACACTCATTTTTATATTTAAAATATTAGCTGCTGATCTGTCAAACGTTGTTTTGTTCCCTACTGTCACCCGCTGTGCTAATTTTTTTCTAATTGTGTTAAAGACCATGCTATTTCACAAGTTAGAACAAACAATACATTGCAAATAGATCAATTATACCAAGTTTTAATACATGTATATATATATATAAATGTAATATTTTATATAATGCAATCAGTATTTTCGTGACTGTGAGCAGATGAAATGGCATATGTCATGTGGAGTTGATTTTCCTTTAAGAATCCATCTCCATATAATTATTTCATTGCTCAGATTGTTAGTCTGGTATAATGCGTTTCTTCAAGCATGTCATATAGTCCTGATATGCTAACTTTTTAATGGATGATAATGGAATGGTAATCCAGCCAGTGCTATCGGTAGACTTTGATGGGGTAGCAATGAAAGATGATGATGTTAAAGCTCAGTTGGCTTTGTTTTTAGCAAAGAATATTCCCATGGGTTATATAAAATTTCAGTCTTACCACAAAAATAATTCACAACATTATCTACTTAAACAGTATTTAACAATGCTATGTCTAAGTGATCAAATATTGACAAATTTATTATGTTAAGTACTTTTCATTTTTAAGATTTTCTTAGACATATAAATAAACAGATGTTGGATAACCATTTGTAGTAAGAAGTCTAAAAATATAAGAAATATATAAGACCTATCACAATATTTTTTTTGCAGTAAGACTGTCCATATGTAAGAAAACAGTAATCATACCATCAATGCTCATCTTTTGTTCTGATTCTCTTATATCAATACTGTTATTTGATTTAATATCACTTTGTAGCTCATCCAATACATTAAAACTTTCAGGTAAATCCAAATCATTATTGATTTGATTATTATTTTGAATAATATTATGCAAAACACTAGCATTGATTATAGATTTTTCAGCATGATTTACAGTGTTAGAATAATTATCACATTTGTCAGAAGTTACTTCTTTCATGCTTTCATCAATGTTATCCAGTAACTGGTCGTTTCCAAAATGTTGTACATCTAAATCATTTACATCATTGATTGTGATGTGAGCTACATAATTATTATGTCTGTAACAAGGACATAAAATATTTATTTATTACATATATTTAAATTTTTTTTATATTTATGTCAGTACTTCAGTCATATAATTACTCATTTATGGGTTCTTCTGATTTTGTAAGATGTAATTGATTATTATTTGATGATGTGATTACATTCTGTAAAAAGAAATACAATAAATGTTTATAAAAAAGAACCACTATTAGTGTCTCACAAATAAATATTATACTTGTTATACCTTTGGACCTATATTTTCCACCCCGGCTAGATGTAAGCATTTACATGCTTCTATAAATGCATTCATATCATCAGTTGGCACTTGCACTTCTCCAGTATAGATATATTCTAAAATATAACTTAATACTTTTTGGCTGATGTGCTGTAAAAATGTTTTACTGATTTAATTATTATTAAAATGAGAATAATGTTCTAGATTCGTTACTAATCATCATTCATATTATATCATTATTAGATCAAACTCATTGTACATTTTATACTCCCCCAACTGTCATACTAACTCCAAAAGTTTATTTATCTAGGCATTTTTATTCTCCAAATATAGATTTTTTTTTAATATCTGACAGATTAAAAAAAATCTATTATCAGAATATTGAAAGTATCCAAATACTTTTGCAAGTTGAAATGACGCTAGGCCAGGCGCAGACTTCAAGTCTTACGTGGCAGTAGCATATAACAACTTTAAACACCTTAAGTAAGTAGATATATTTAAAGGAGTATAGATGTTTATAAAAGGGATCTGGGTAGGATGTGCCAATACAAAAACATTGTCTTGTATCCACTCCATAATAAGAAGTGGGATTTTCAGTTAGATACATGTCTGAGAATAATTATCAATATTGAATAAATATCATTATTGCACCATTTTTAAGGTGGTCCCATTCTGGAAAATAAACTTAAATATGCCAATATAAATTGATGAATGTAAGTTATACTATAATAATCAAACGTTATTTAATGGTAACCAAAGCAAACAAGTACTTACACTTAAAAATATAACTGGATGCTGGCATACAGTAGACTGCAAAATTTCTTTCAAGTAAGGACTAGCAAGAGCAACCACATTCTTATGTACTTTCACAAAATGACCTTCTGCAGCTAAAGTCATATCCACAAATTCTTCTTTCTGGAAGTAATTTAAAATTACATAGAAGTTCAACATTTTAATTTCATTAGATATATATATATATATATATATATATATATATATATATATATATATATATATATATATATATATATATATATATATATATATATATATATATATATTAATATATATTGTAAAGCTACATTATTACACTCCTGGGTTATGGGTGGACCTGTTTCCAGTAAAATGTTATTAAAGGGATCTATGCAATTAGATAAAACATATTTACCTGCTGTAACCTAGAAAAGCCTAAAATCATGTTATTTTTATAGGAATCCCAACTTATACAAAACTGGGTAGACGGCGACATTTTTCTTTTTAGTTATTTCTGTTGAATTGAAAAATTATTATTCAAAAGACAGATTATCAATAAAAGTAAAAAAACATAATATTTAAATTATATGCTTGTATTATAATTAAGTACCTAAAGTCACAGAATACATAATGCATTGCATTGCATGTTCCGATGAACTATTTTTAGCAAAAATACAACAAAAGATAACATTCTTATATATGTATTAATTACTTTATACAATAATATAGTAACAGTATTACCTTAAGATATCAATTTCTTAATATTATTGATAGTAAAGACAAGTTTTTACTACTTCCCGTAATATCTGTCAATTTCTAGAATAGATCTCGTAATAGAGTCAATATTAATTATATTTGATGAAATTTAAAACATCAAGATAAAAAGAATGGTGTACAAAACAGTAATTTCGTTTAGAAATTTTAGTGTGTAAATAAAGGGTCTGTACTAATCGCATAGACTGAGAATAGTTGACGTCACACTGCAAAGATAATTCAATGACATTGACATAATTTCCCTATTCTGTGACCTTTGATTCTGTCACACTGTCACCAACATCACAGAGTACCTTGTTCTTAGAGAGTACCTAACCACAATTTTAGAATAATAATTAGTATTATCATTCATAATAAATTAGTTTCAAGTTCGGTTCTCTCGTTTTTACATTTCTTGTTCATTTGTTATAATAATTAAACCAAATGATATCAGTTTAGCTTAGTTACATTTTCTTTTTATTCTTAAAGTGAAAAAAAAAAAAAAAAACAAAAAATGTTATTAAGTAAATATCGCCAGATAACGTATTGTTCATCTATTTTTAACAGTTTTCGAAGGTAAGTTTTATAAAATTTTGCGTAATTATTAAAATAATTTTATGAATTGTAATTATAATTTTCTTCAATCTTGTGTTGATAACATTATATGGTAAGTCGGTATCCTTAGGGGCGCATATATATAATTTCACTCACCAACATGTTCTTATAGATATTTAGAATATAAAATAAATATTAGTTGACATAACATTGTTTTATCCTCTACCAAGAACATTTAACCCTTAATCAGGCATAGGACGATTTATCGACCACCTAGGTAATTGGAGTTTTATAGTGATCTTTGTCTTTTTTTTAATTCATATAACCTTTATTTGATTACCAATATTTGTATCTTTCGTAAGAAGCTATACTATTTTACTAAACAATTCATTTTGGGAAAAATCAGTATTCAAAGAAAGTGGTTATTATATACCCTATACCCGTTAGGCGGTAGTATAATATGGACACTTTTTTTAATCATACAAGAGATGATTTTGAAATAAAAATATAATTGTAAATTGTTAGGTTTTTTAGAACAAAAATAATAATCTAGGTTTTTTTTAAATAACATTCTACGTTGTTTTAACTAAAATAACAATCTTCCAGTAGTATAAAATTTTTTTTATCATTGATTAACAAATAGGGATAATGGAAACAAATTATAAAACGACAGAGAGCACTTTTTTTGTCTTAATTTTAATATTTTTTAAGAAATAGATCTTAGATATACATTGTACAGGTAAAAATTAAGAACACACCATATTTAAAAATATGTTTTAATGCCAGTGCACACAGGGCCTGATTAAGGGTTAATCTGTTTTTTCTTGTTGGAATATAGCGATAATAAAACTGTGTTTATGGTTCTAGCCCTTTGTGGCGTATCCAGTGTCTACCGATAGCACAGGCGTGTCACCATTCATTTCACCGAGGTTAGCCCCTTATCAATCAAGTGTGTTGTTTCATATGCACTGATAGACTGAAAATGCAATCACAAAAACAAGACCAGGAAATAGTATTTTTTTTATTTAAAGGATGATAATGAAATGTTAAGCCTACCTGTGCTAACAGTATACACTGATGGGGCACCAGTGAGTGATGATAGGTGAGAAAGAAAAGGTAGGTCAGGTCAGTTGGATGAATAACTGGAATGTTTTCATTCTCATCTATCACCTCTTCACTGGTTCTCCCTTGAAACTGTCATGGATAATTCCTGATGAATTCATCATGATGGGCTAACTGGCCTGTTTTCATTCTCATCTATCACTCTTCACTGGTGCTCTGCCAGCATATTCTGTTAGCGCAGGCAGGGTTACCATACCATTTTCACCCATCAAAAAAAAGATACACATGGAATTTAGCACTATGGCTTCCAGGGCAAACCATATGGAGGTTGACCTGACAGGGTATATTGCTGGCAATGGGACTGGTTGTCCGCATTACTAACAATCCCTTCCTCCCCACCAAAAAATAGTTACACTAGTTTATATAATGTAAATTATGCATATAACTCAAACTACCATTTTTACTTATCTGTATTTACGTTTTATTCAGATTAAAAAAGTAGATGTTCTGTAATATGTCAAGTGGTATTTATGTATTACCTATTCTAATTTTATCACATTGGTAGCTGTACAACATTGTTCTCATTTCTTATTGAGGTGGTACCTGTAGAAATATGTATTATTTTTAATAGCATGCATAATACATGTCAGAACAGCATCTAAAATATCATGTATATTGTAATAAATTATGAGTTTCTTATTTATTATTTTATATCATAAACATATTATTATTTTAAAAATATTGATAAATCGTGTTAATACATTGCTTAATTTTTTTTACAGATATAGTACATTAAAAAAGGATCAATATGATATTGTCGTAATTGGTGGAGGAGTAGTTGGATCAGCTTCTGCCAGAGAATTATTACAAAGATATCCACAGTTACGGATAGCAATTGTGGAAAAGGAAAAAAAATATGCTTCCCACCAAAGTGGTAATAACAGTGGAGTAATTCATGCAGGTATATATTATAAACCTGGTTCATTAAAAGCAAAATTATGTGTAAGAGGTCTTCAACTCACATATAAATATTTGGATGAAAAAGGCATAAGGTATTCAAAATGTGGTAAATTAATTGTTGCTACCCAAAGGGCTGAGGTGCCAAGATTACTAGATTTATATGAACGTGGGCTTAAAAATGGTGTTAAAGATATACAATTATTAGACAATAAAGAAATGCACGAAATTGAGCCTAACTGCAAAGGAATACAGGCTGTTTGGTCTCCTCACACTGGTATAGTAAGTTGGGAAGAAGTTACAAATTCATATATAAAGGACTTTGTTAAGAGTGGTGGTAAAAGTTATTTGAATTTTGAAGTTACTAAATTTGTAGAAGCAGAAGATGCAGATTATCCTGTTATGATAATTGACAACAAAGGTTCAGCTATCCAAGCCAAATATGTCCTCACTTGTTGTGGGTTGCATTCAGATACCATAGCCGTTTTAACCGGTTGCCCAGAAGAACCAAAGATTATTCCATTTAGAGGTGAATATTTATATGTAGTTCCACACAAAAGTAATATTGCAAAAGCCAATATTTATCCAGTACCTGATCCAAGATTTCCATTTTTGGGAGTTCATTTAACTCCAAGGATTGATGGGCGTATTATAGTGGGACCAAATGCCATTTTAGCTTTTTCTAAGGAAGGATACAGGTAAGATTAAATTATATAATTGGTAATTTATGGAAGGGTACCCATTTTGTATCACATTAAAGCCTATTAAAGATACCACTGCTATTTTGTCTGTTAGTAAATTAAATAAGTAGTTTGTCGACAAATTGCGAGATAAGGCGTCGAATTCGTTTCATCATATCAGTCGTTAACTATCCACTGCTGAACATTACCCATAAAGGGAGGTTTTACTAGTAATTGCCGCGCTTGGCAGGCGGGCTGGCAACCGCAGTTAATCTTTGGTGATGTTTTAAGAGGGATGCTGTTGCCCATCCCTCGACAATTCCCTTAGTCACCTCTTATGGAAAAGGAAGGGTAGTTCATTCTATACCCGGACCACACGGCAATTCGTTTAATATTAAGTAAGAAAATATATTTCAAAGAAATGAAGGCAATCTAGACAAGAGGAACAGATGAATATTTACTAATAAAATAATTTAACGGTTTCATATTTATATATAAATTTACTGAAATAGGTATATTGTATTTAATAAATCAAATAGGCGACATCATGTCTATTTAATTAGTCATTAGATAGTTTCACAATAATACACATTTTATCTACGAGTTGTAAAAAAACTGGTCTGTTTGTATTTGATAAATATTATTTACTTATTACATAATATGTTAATATGTAGACAGATAATTAAAGTTTTATCTCTGCCTCCGTGATTTATTATTATCTAAATGTTTTCAGATGGGGCGATATCAATTTAAGAGAATTGAAAGAAATATGTTCATTCTCTGGATTTCGTAAAATGGCTATGAAATATGCTAGTTTTGGAATAAAAGAGATGGCAAGATCAGCTATAATGCCATTACAAGTAATGCAGATACAACGATATATACAAAATTTAACTAGTGCAGATGTTGAGAAAGGTCCAGCTGGTGTACGAGCTCAAGCTATGGCAAAAGATGGTATTTTATTGTCCTTGTTCTTTCTTAAAACTTTTTTGACACAATTATGTTTTATTTGCTTGTAGAAGGAAATTTATTATCTTTGGATGTTATTTGAACAGATCATTGCAATTTTGGCGCAACGTAATTTTTTACTCTTGAATAGTAATGATAAGTGTTACATAATCACACCAATTGTTCCAGAGTAAATATAAAAAGAAAAAATAAAATAAAATTATAATTGATTCTTATAAAGAAAATTCCATTTTCTAAATTAACTTGACTGGAAATCATATTTAATTAAAAAAAAAAGCTTATTTTTAAACAAATCAGTGTGCCTACTACTGCGCTATGGATGTTTTTATCAATAACATTGATAGTATTATTAAATAAAGAAGATAATGGCTCATGATTATTTAATTTCGCCTTTGTGCTCGGTAAGATAAATGATTACTTATACCTAAATGGTACTTTATTATGTGTTTCAGGCACGTTGATTGAGGATTTCGTATTTGATTCGAAACCAGGAACTGGAGCTATTGGGAGCAGGGTTTTACACTGTCGTAATGCACCATCACCAGGCGCTACATCATCTTTAGCTATTGCGGAAATGATAGCAGATAAAATGAAAGAGGAATTCAAATTGTAATAATTTCACTTCATTCAGTCATAGTTTTCGCTCGAATTTTCATAACACGATTACTACTCCAATATGAGCGCTATTGTGAAGTGGCGGCACGACTGAAAATTATAACACATTTCGTACTCACTCACCACTTAACCAAGTCCGATGTTACATGAGCATATCATGAGATACTTGTCACGATTACAATATTGTGCTATGTCATTTAATGGTCCTCTCCTTTATATACAATTTGTAAATTGTATAAAGTAAAAAATTGTTTTGTAGATTTAATGTTTTGTTAAAAAAAACTAGGGTATATTCTTTATAGCTAAACTCTACTAATTATTAATTTTTACTGTAAAGCGTTAAGGAGTTCTTATCATTATTACCATGAACAAATAAACTCATACGTGGTTTCAGTTGCTAGCCATAACACAGTACCACTTGTACCGGAACAAGCGGTCTTATGACCTTGCTTGAAAAGAAATGTAATTAAAGGAGTTTCTTAGCCAACAGTGTGGAGGTATTACTAAATGGTGATAGAGGTACATAACTAAAATAAAAAACAGTTTATTAGTAGTTAATTCGATCTCCACCAATTTTTATAGCTAGACTAGGCGTCTTTTGACATACCCCGCAAAATGCGGTATTTATTTTCATTGTTAGCTGTCAATTTATAAAATAATGATGAAAATGACAAATGTATGGACTAGTTGTGATGAAAATTGTTGAGTAATAACTATTATGAGTCATCCTCTGCTTGAATTATAAGCTGACAAATAATTATAATACAGTGATGAATAGTTTATTGATCACTAAACAATGGTGAGAAAAAGATAACCAGTGGGACCATTTCTGATATTTTATTTAATCTAGTCTCTGAAAAGACTATATATAGCTCATGATTCTTAATTGCCATTTAAAAATTTAAATTAAAAAGGCATTTTAAGCATTTTTATTATGTATTATTTTTAAGAAATGTATGTATATTAAATGTTTAGTGGACAAATTCATATGAATAATATGCATTGCTGATTAATATATTATTATTTATATAATATTTGATTGATTTATAATTTTAAAAAGTAAAAAATGCATAATTTTATTTTAGACATTAAAAACAATATATTTTTTATGTTAATCAGAACTGCTTTATTCATAAAAACGTCAAACCTCTCATAAAGTTCTTTTAGCTACTGAACTGTTTTGTCTCTTTCTTTTGTGCTAAATTCTCGGTTTTAATGAAAGTGACAAAACAGTGTAATAATTAAAATAGGTTTATAGGAGTTTTTAATTTTTATGAATAAGGGGAGAAGTTTATAGATAATCTCAATGTGCTATATTATTATGTGTTCTGTAAGGATTGTAAATTGAAGGTGCTATGAAACGGATTGCAAAATTAGTCAGTCTTAAGTACAATATGTACAGACTACTTAGATATACATTAAACGTTTTTGTTATAGTTTGTTTATTGTTATTTTTATAAGTATTTCTAATTATTGTTAATGTTAAGAGTGTAATTATTGTAGAAAATATCTAATATTAAGTATACCTTTAAAATCAGTTGAACAGTTTCGGAGTTAGGTGAATGAATATCGTAACACAATACACTGTAAAGAAATTGATATATAAACTTTTATATACATTAGTTGTGTAAGTATTGAAGAATACAACTTTATAAGACAACACTCATACAGTTTTTCTTTTATATTATAATTAAGATTCTGTCCCAAAAAAAAAAAAAAAAAAAAAAAAAAAAAAACTTTAGTTGTGGCAAAATTAATTATTTTAATTTGGAAAGTGAACTACTGAACCGGCAATATACCCAACCAGGTTGACCTCCTCGCGGTTCCACCTGGAAACTATCATGATTAATTCCTGATGAATTCATCATGATGGGCTAACTGGCCTGTTTTCATTCTCATCTATCACCCTTTACTGATGCTCCGCCAGCGTATCCCGTTAGCGCAGGCGGGGTGACCACACCATTTTCACCCATCAAAAAAAAAAAACTACTGAACCGATTTTGATACAATTTCTTTGGAACCATTTTGTAAGTATATCCTTTTAAAAATAAGATATTAATACTAAAGATAAAAAAAAATCCAAATTGGTTTACCACTGACGGAGTTAGGAGATAACAGACATTATAAAACTATACAACTGGAATGAGAACCTCTTTCTTTTAGTTAGTTGAAAACTAGCAACTCGGGGCGGGTCTTCACATGGGTAGTATATGTAATGTAAGCATATAGTGCATATATGCTTACATTTTTTGCATTAGCTTTTTGTGTCAAGTATGAATTAGATGGGTATAATAAGCTACTGTTAAAAAATTGTAATATGCCATATTTTGAGAAATTTTAAACAACTTCTGAACAATAATATTGTCATGTATAAAAATAAAAGAAAATTATAATTTGTTCTTTTATTACTTTGATCTCTTTTTTAACTTCAACATAATACTTACATTAAATGATGAGGTACATTAATATATATCATAAAATTTGATTTACATATGATTTACATCTATATTAGTAAAATATAGATATATTCCAATATCAAATTTTTGTTGAAATACTTTTCTAAGTATCAACTAGTTATTCAGTAATAATACCTCTACTAGATAAATATACAAACTGTACTTGTAAATCATATACTGTTGTTAAATGAAATGCAATATTGCTAATAACAACAATGTATTCAGAAAATCCAAACATAGAGTAAACTGAAATAAAGAAATTACAATATTAGATTCAATTATGATATATTTAGTTTCAATGAAAATATTATGTGATTTTCTATTGTAAACTGACTATAAAAAATTATGTTTTGTGGAAGTACCTTTAAGTATAATAATTATATCTACTAGCTTTTACCTCCAATTATATTATGTGGTTATCGAAAAGTTGACAGACCATACAAATATTTATATTAATCGAACATAAGTATCTACAAATATATTTAATTATTAGGGTTTTGACACTTTGAAATTGGGAAATTAGCATAAAAGAAAAATATAAGACTTCAAAATAAATTTATGAATCCCTTGATTTTTTTGTGAATAAAAGTTAATGATAATATAAATAACTATGATGAATAATTAATTTGGTTTTAAGATATAACTAATTTAATATCCTTTCTAATATTATAAATGTGAAAGTGTTTGTTTGTTTGTTACCTCTTAAATACTAAATAGATCAATCAATCATTATAAAATTTGGTATATTGGTACTACATGGGATAAAGGTCATAGGCTACTTTTTATTCTTGTCAGTGAATATATCTTAGTCACAAAGTGATGGGTAAAAACCAGTTATATATAATCCTGAAATATCTTACAATGATAGTTTATAATTATCTAATATTTTAGTTTGCTATAAGAGATTTTTCCAATTATCATTAAAAAGATATGATTCATAAAATGTTTCATTGGTTCAATTTTAATAGGTAATGCAAACATAAGGTTACTTAATGAACTTGATATTTTTTTTTTGTTATTTTAAACAGATATTGTATGTATGACATCTATGTAATGTCACATTATATTAATAAAATGTAGACAAAACTTACCATATGCTTCACACAGTCGGTTATGCCTCAGAAAGAAGTAAGCAGCAAGAGTAAATGAACTTATATTTACAAAGAAGGCTCTCCATTTTAATTTGACTGATTGCATTTCTAAACTTGTAATATTAGGCCTCCTTCTATACCTTGTAAGGATTATACATATCAATAACATATAAAATATTGATGTACCAATAAATGTTTTGAATGATACTTCATGATATGCTGAAAAAACAAATAATGCAATGCCATAAATGTGATTGTTACTGTCTTGAAAAATGTACAAATAGAATTAAAAGAGATTAACATATGATAATAATGAAAATTGTAAGCTACTAAGAGCTGTGTGTTATGTGACTATCAAAACACACTGGCAGGGCACCAGAAAAGGATGATAGATGAAGATGAAACAAGGCAGTTGGCACATTGTGACAAATTTAACAATTGTTAATCATAATAATTTCCAGAGGGAACCGAGTGAAGATTGACCTGATAGGATGTTGTTAGCAATGGATCAGTTACACTCCATACATAGCAATTCTTTTCCCCAGGTCATGACATAGCCTTTTGAAGCCAATGGTCAGAATTTTATAATTATATAAAATGGCCAATATTTTTTTTATAGTTTGTATTAATAAAACTTATAAAAATATAAACAAACTCATACTTAACTGGGTCATAACACAGTGTCAATATTCAATATAAAGTGTACAAATAAAAAATTGGTTAATAGATTTAATGTTTCAATTTGTTACTAATTTTATTTAGAAAGTATTCTTGTGATAATTTCAATAAAACCAGGTTCGACTTTCAATAAGTTCTATCATAAACTGACTAGAAATAAAATTGGAAAAAGTATTTGTGTGACCTGTGTTTTTTTAAATGAGTGATAATGGAATGGCATCCATGCCTTTGCTAATGGTATACAATGGTGGGGCACCAGTGAGAGATGATTAATGAGGATAAAAGGCAGGTCAATTAGCCTACTGTGATGAATTCACCTGAAATTAAACATACTGGTTTCTGGTACACAAACTATGAAGAGGTTGACCTGACAAGGTGTATTGCTAGCAATGGGTAAACTAGACCGCCGTTACTAACTTTTCCTTTCCCATATGACTTGTTAGATTGTATATTCTCAACCCAGAATTAAAGAATTATGAAAAACTGAAATACTTACGATAGTTAGCAGATGATGTCCAATGTGTCAGTCCTAATAATGCAAAATTCTCTATTACATTTAATAATATGGCTAACTTTACTACAAAAATGCAATTTTCCCTAACAACACTTTTATAATAGTTCCATCGTAAATATATTATAAAAAACCTTATTGGTGCATGAATGTATATTGCAGTTTTCCAAATTATATTTTGCGGTTCATAGTTTCCAATGGATGCTGATATTGACGGGAATATATTTGGGACTTTACAATGTGTATTATTTGCTTTTTCAAAATCTTTGTACATAGTCATCAGTACACAAGTTACAAAAGCAACTAATGGCAGTGATACTGTAAAGAATCCCAGTTTGGAAACTCGAATTCGTATAAAATAACGTTTTTTTCCTGAAACATTATGCAGGGGAAGATACATTAAATTCGTACACTATTTACGGCAGTCGAAAGTTTTTCTGTACAATCAGGAAGATTTTGAATTCATAAAGATTTTTCGAATGGAAACTTAATGAATAATTAGTAAATAGGAAATGATTAAAGAACATTTTCTTGTTTAATGTTTTTTAATATGTCAATGTCATTTTCAAGGTATACATATATATGCATAGACTAGAGAGCTATGCCTATAAAGATATATGTCATTTATTTCAATATCTGTCAACTATCTGTCTGTAATTTTGACAGTAAGTACCATAATATCAACGTAATCTCAATATTTCAAGAACTTAAAAATACCTAAACGGAATTAAAAATTACCAGATATAAACTGAAGACAATGGCTGTATAGGCTTAGTCCTTTTGCCTTTCTTATGTATAAGGTAAAACGGAACCAAAAAAAAATAAGAACAAGGGAAATCTTTGAATATGAAATCAATTAATCTTATTTTTTTTTAAATGGATGATAATGGAATAGTAACTCCGTCTGAGCTAACGGTATATACTGGTGGGGTACCACTGAAGGATAATAGGTGAGAATGAAAAGGCAGGTCAGTTAGCTCGCCGTGACAAATGCGACAAGTATTAATCATAATGGTTTCCAGGAGGAACCGCGTGAAGATTGACCTGACAGAACTTGTTAATAATGTCGGCATTAGTCGCCATGACTAACAACCCCTACATTTATATGATTTAAATCACACATAGATGTACCGGGTAACAAGCTGGCTGATAACACGGTGAAACAAGCAGCTACTTTCAGAACTGTGACTCAAGTCCACCCGTTTCTTATGTTATATGCACGCTATTGGAGCCGTGAATATGAACAACTAGCTTATAATTTGCATAGCTACTACGACGACTTACGCTAGACGTTTTACGTCTTGTGGATACTAAGAATAAGGAATTATAGAAATCTTTGATCAGCATGCATCCCTTGGTTATATATACTTTGGTCAGTATGTGGTCCGTTATACTGTGATATACAGTGTGGCCGTTTCTGAGGCGCCATTTCTCTAAACTTTAAAATTTCGATTTTATAATCATAGCGAAATCTTTATTTAAGGACCAATATGAACTTGGATTTTTAATTTAAGGTAGTATGTTACACTACGTCTATGAGATAGTAGACAGAGGGAATCTTGTGCCAACAGTTATATTTATTAGCAAAACATGGCTCAGACTAGAATTTCATTTCAGATATAGGAGAAAAATATTAGATTTTAATATTATATTCGACAAAATGTTTGATTGAGTGGTATTTTAATTGAAATGAAATTTGGTGTTGATCTATTGCAAGTTGAAACCTTAGTATATAGTACCTAAATTTGACTAACTGACCTTGAACATTGTCGATATTTCGGGACGTTGCTTAAATGACATCTATTTTTTTCAATGAACCATCCCTGTAGATAGAATAAGTACTTTTTTACTAGATGAATGATGATATATTCGTCTATATTAACGGAAAATGGCGGGGCACCGGTAGAGGATGAAGTCAGGACAGCTGGCCCATTGTGGCAATTATAATAGGAATTAATTGCAATGGTTTTCAAAGAGCTTTGGTTGATCTACCAGGATGTACTTTATTAACGAGTGAAAATAAATTAATATCTTATCTGCGCTATCAGTGTACTTTGGCGGGGAACCAGTGAAATATGATAGGTGTGGATCTATCTCATCTATTCGGCCACTGTTATTTTAAACTTGTAAGCCGACAAAACGGGGTCAATAGTGGGGAAAAGGATTATTAGTAATGGGTGTAATAGCTCCATTGGTTCATACTCTATTTTGTTTTAATAGATGATAATGGAATGGTAACCCCGCCTGCGCTAACGGTATACGCTGGCGGGGCACCAGTGATAGATGATAGGTGAGGATGAAAAGGCAGGTCAGTTAGCCCATTGTGATGAATACACTTGGAATTCAGCACGATGGTTTCCAGGGGAGACCACGGGGAGGTGGACCTGTTAGGGTATATTATTAGCAATGGAACTGATAATCCGCAATATTAATAATCTCTTCCCACCCGGTTCATACTCTATTGACTTTTGGGTCGACCTCCACGCGGTTCCTTTTGGGTTATCATTTCATTTTCACCCATTAAAAAGTGACAAATCATAGATAATAAGAGAATGTTTACCTAACTGTTCCTGATTATATATATATATTATATATATATATATATATATATATATATATATATATATATATATATATATATATATATATATATATATATATATATATATATACAATTTGTGTGTACCCATTGATGTGCGTGCAGAAAAATAACTAGATATATATATATATATCAAGGGCGGAAGTTTTATCAATAATCTTAAATAGGCTAGGTATTTATTATTGATTTCGCAAGAACCATGGATACGGTAAACAAGTACCACTAAGTAAACTACAAAAATGATTTAAAAGCAGCTGAAAATCCGAAAACAGGAAGATTATACAGTACACAGTTGTACATTGTGTTGATCAGTTTCACATTACGCATTATTTTTCAAATTATTTTCTTTAATTATTCAAAATATACACGCTCTTTATGATATGGCCATAATAGTCTTAACGAAATGGAGGATCTAATAAGAAAAGACATATTTAAGCAAAGGGATTTATATAGACTTTCTCCAGATTACAAACCTTCGGACACAGTACTACGTTTGGAGTTGAGGAGAGATTTGGTGAGGATAATTTATTTTTTGATGCATTAGTAATTTAGCCGTGCCGTTATAGGCTGTGCTAATTTCGTAGATGTATTAATTGACCGAAATAAAAAACAGCATAGCATATATATTTGTCCGGAAAGTACGTATAAAAGTTTTTTAAAAATTTTATTTTACAATTATTCAGGTAAATCAATTTTATCCCCTTCAAAGTACTCCCCCTGTGACATAATGCACTTGTGCCAACGCCGTTTCCACTGTGAGAAGGCTCCTTGTTGTAGGTTTCTCAGCTGCCCCGTCGTAGCTTTTTTTATCTCATTTATGTCCCCCAAATGCCGCCCCCGAAGTACCAATTTGGTTTTTGGGAACAAGAAGAAGTCACACGGGGCCAAATCCGGCGAATATCACCGTAATGGAATTTTTACTCAAAAACTCACGGACAACAAGAGAGGTGTGGGCAGGGGCATTAAATAACGCCCCTCTCGCGCCAATTCTACTCGTGCCAAGCTTTTGTGAGCACATCGACGTAGAATTTTCCATCAAATATATCCCCCGAACATCGAAAAAAACAATCAACAATACTCTTTATATTACGACGCGCTGCTCTTCAACGGAAGCGGGCTCCATGCCGACGGGGTTTCGTTAAGAGGTAACTTCACAGATGGCGTGACAAGCCATCGCACCGCACGGCGGTCAGACCAGAACTGAAGCATTGTTAGGGACATAAGGAAGGGGTCCTGTGCTTATATCGCATTCCAGAACACTTTTATACGAACTTTCCGGACAGACCTCGTATATGTACGTACCTAGGCATAGTGTGTTTGCTTATCTTAAAGTACATCTTGATCATAAACCTTTAACTAGATAGTATTAAAACAAACGCTTTACTAATCAAGTTTTTGTGTCCATAAATATAAATAATCAGTATGCAGGTCCAGTTTAGTGTACATGATGTTCCAGGATAAGTTTTTGACAGCTCCCCCCCTCACCCCGAACTTTTGGATTCTCGACCGCGTCATCCCCTATAATATATTTGTAATTGGATGAAAATGGAATAGTAAGCTCGTTCAAGGAGAACCGCGTTGAGGTCGATCTGACTGAATATACTCTATATTTATTACCGTTAGTTAAGCTGTTAATCCTCGTTATTAACAATCGTTTCGCCCTTTAGGCTGATACTGTCAGAAAGTATAATTATTATTTAGTAATTAAAAAAAAAAATAATGAAAAACAATACAAAGTTCAAGATCACCTTCCTCCTTCATCATATTTTTCTTATTATCATGTACTTAGCACAAGGTTACCATATTATTATTTCACTGAATACATATAGTGCCTATATTAAATAAGTCGATCAGTTGAATAAAATTACGAGTAGATAATTATTTAAAATATTTCCAGGTCAAGACTACTCATAATCACGGAATAATGAAGAATATCAATTGGCAAAGGTACAAAATTTTTATAATTCACCGGCACTCATCTCGTGTTGTGCTAGAAATACTATCGTATTATTTTGTAATGCATAACAGTTAACTATTACACTAATTTAGTAAGGATTATTTTTGCAAGTTCAGCGTTTAAGGTTAATGAAATTTTAAAACTTTTTCAGGAAAGAAATGCGGAATTCAAAAGATAATAGAGTTAATAAAGAAATAACAAAAATTCGAAACGACTTCCAATGCAGCAATTTGAAAAATCAAATAATGTTAAAAGATGCGATTAAATCTGTCGATTCTTTGGGAAATAATGGTTACCGGTTTAATAACAGGTTATTAATAAACGATTTAAATGAAATAACAGATTCTTGTTTTAGTGAAACGTTAGAAGATAGTGGCAAATTAATTCTATGTAATGATGTAGATTTTAAAATATATAGTAATCCGAAAATGGTTGAAAAGGAAAATCGAAAGTGTAAGACTCAGAATATGAAACCGTTCCATGAAGAAAGTAACAGTAATTTAAATAATCACATAACGAACAATTCTGATAATGAAGATATTAATATAATGCGGGTTGATTGTACATACCCTTCTAAATCGTTAAAGAATACAGAAATATCCGACTGTGATGTAAATTCTGTTTTACAAACAAATAACTTAATTACAGAAGAATCTTCTAACATGATAGAAAATATAAAAGAACCAACAAATAATTTACAAACGACACTGATTATGATGGCAATATCTTCAAAATCGAATGAAAATGATATACATGAAAATTCTACAAATGTTGCAGAACCTTTGAATTATGAAGAATTAACTACAAGGAATATACAACAAAATACAACTGTAGTAAATAACAAAGTATATTGTAAAGAAATTCCAAATTTTTTGAAGGTAACAGCATTTAAAGTTGTAATTAGCGACAAACAATTATCCATTTTACGTAAATATATAAAAAAGTGGCGAGATTACGTATGTAATAGAAAAGAGCATTATTCTCAACAAAGACTACAGACTCTAAATAATTTTTTTGATAAACTTTCACGACGAAAGGATACAAATAACTCATCAGAGTCCATAAGTAAATCCAAACAACTTGTACGAGACTATAGTTCATATCAACACAGGTATATTTTGTTATATTATAGGTAGATTCTTAGTTTAAAGTACCATTTACGATTTCTATATCACTTGTATGTATATCCTTTAACATGAATAGGTTAGTATCAAATTTTTATACGATTTAAATTATTATAGAATATTTTATTTTTTTAGATATAAAATACAAAAACATATAATTGCACTACAAAAGGTGAAACTTGAAGAGCAAAACAGATTAATAGAGGAACTAAAGTATAATAAAATAGTAGAAGCTTCGAGACAATCAGTCGATGCTATGAGGGAAGAAGTACGAAAAACATATTATGAAATAGACAGACAGTTAAAGCCTAAGATAAAATGTCTGACTAATGAACTAAAGATACACGAGATTGAAGGTAAGCAATTTATTAAATTTAATATTATAAATTGATATTGAAAATTATTTTAGATTCAAGAGCGTTCATAAGAAATAAAACGTCTGAATAATATATAAAGTTAATTATCAATATTTGTAAATACATAAAATTAAACTGATAGTTTAGATATAGACATATACACCTCTTAAAGTGTTATTAAACAAATCATTACCTTTAATATAGAACTAAACTTGGTATAAAGACAGTAGATACATGATGAATGTGGAGTGTAAGAGGAAAGTGTGGAGGAGTATGCCGCTTGTAAATTCGGTGACCAAATTTATTATTCACTTAGGGGATATTGGTTCACTTCTTCCCAAAACCTTGACCAAATTGGTACCTCTCTTCGGGGGCGGATACATCAGACCCAAAGGCAAATCATTACCTTTAATTCTTTGTTCTCTACTTCTGTTTTTTTAGTTTCAAGTGATACACAGAAATTTTATTATAACTTCTTTCTTTCATTATTTTTAGAACCGTCACTTGTTTTACATTGCTTAAAAGTCCCTCAGTTTTTACAAAGAATGGAGAAAAGAGCTCGTGAAAGAGAGGAAAAACATGCAATTATAAGAGAAAGACGAAGGCAAATGGAAGAAGAGCGTATTAGATTAAAACAACAGGTAAACTGGTTCTTTGTTTCATATACATTTTGTTCTCTCAAAAAGTGACTTCAGTCATAATCACACATACACTTATAGATTGGATTAAAAATATTGTAATTTAAAACGCGAAATCGTGCCTACAAGTTCATGTATATTCTTCTTCAAGTGTATTTTATACAAATTGTTTAAAAAGTTAAAGTTGCAATTAATATTATAGGCAGAATTGGCGAAAGTTGAAATGGACAAGGAAGAGAAAATGAAAAGAATAAAGGAACTTCGGCTGAAACGAAAAAGAGAAAAGATAGATGGCATACGCAGAAAACAATATGCTGAAAAAATGAGAGCACTGGCAGTAATGGCAGATTTACATTATGAAAAGAATTTATTAATAAAGTATGGCGTACGGCCTTTTAAGATATTATTATCTATAAAACGTGATAATATTGAGAGGGCCAAGGCACATTATACCTTTCAACTTAAAAAAAATGTCTTCCTGCACTTTATGTGGTACACTGAGGATATGTGGTTTGAAAGAAATTATAAAGCTGAAGATTTTTATAGAAAGAAAATACTGAAGAAAGCATTCAATAGTTGGAAACTGGTAAGTTAAAAGATTTTTTCAAAAGAAAACAAAGAATATCTAAAAACCTTTTCGAAAGATTGAATAATTTTACAGATATTATGTACCTACTTATTATGCCAGGTATTAAGATTTTATTGAAATTACGTGTAGCCACTACTTGGCACCGATATCACGGAGTGTCCATACTCCAGTTGTTCAATGTAAATGTTTTTTTTTTTAATAAGTGATAAGTGGCGGGAATACCATGTCGGTAATCCTGTCTGTACTATCGGTATACGTCGGCACATCGGCAGGGTATCAATGAGGAATAACAGATGAAAACGAATGCAGGACAGTTGGGCCATAATGACGAATTGGACAAATTAACCACGATGGTTTCTAGGGGGAATCGTGTTGAAGTCAACTTGACAAGGTATAAATCAAGCATTGCTAGAAAAGCAAATGCAAGGATTGCTAGAAATGAGGGTTAGCGTCACTGTTTAACAGCACAGTTTACGTTAGCAAACAACCTTTTACTCCCTAATCATATATATAAGTTTAATACCAAGGTTATATTTTTTGTGAGAATAAAAATGAAATGGTAGCTTCGCCTGTGATGTTGGTTAATTTTGGTGAGGTACTAGAGAGATACGATAAGTGAAGACTGATGATGACGGCAGGTCAGTTGGTCCATCGATGGATAAAGTCACCAGAAACTTACCACGGTGGTTTCAACGGACAATTTTTATGTATATAACTGGAAATATCAAACAATCTGATAGCCCATCTGTCATTCAATTATACGTAAGCTGCGTAGCATCTTGGCAACAGTAACACGTGTGGGACAGAAGTAGCAATGCAGGTGATTTTTGTAGTTTTCCGTGGAAGGCGGCAATAGTCAAAAAATTACCCGATTAGTATGTGTATCACTTATTTTATTATTTTATTTAAATAATATTTGTTTTTAATTTTTCAGGCTTATCGTACATTTGTCATAAAGAAGCAAGTAGCCGAAGATTATTATGATTTATATGTAACACAGTTAGTGTTTAGAAATTTTTGTAAAGGAATAGAAATTATCAAGAAAGAGCAAGAATTAAAATTACAGAAAGCAATAATATATCATAATAGGTATCTTATCGGTCAATAAATAATTTATTTGCATAAACTCAGGTACAGTTGTGGCTGTAGTGTAGGTATTATTAATACCGAAGTTTGGACTTCCCAGGTAAAACTGGTAATATTGCGACGTCTGAGGTCTATTATGTCCTTTCTTAGAGTTAGCTACTAATTCCTGTGACTGGAATTTTAGGATGTTCTTAGCAGGGATGTTTGTTATTTTCTCAGGATATAAACTGAGGAGATAAAGAAAGGAAAACACTCGAAAAAGAGTAATGATACATATGCAAAGGATATGTATTTAGTAGCGGATCTATAGGTAACATTTGGGGTCTTTGGCAAATTTATTGGAAACCATTCATTATATAATGACAATAACAATAACAAAAAAAAATTAAAGAATTTTCGATGGATATAATAGGCAAGATGCGTAGCTGTTCTTTATATTGAAAGTTTATTTGTATAATTCGCATACTTTCTTAATACCCTAATTTAATTATTGTGTTTAAGTGGGTTGCAGTTCTTTATGGCAGTCTATGGGGGAGCCGTATGTCCAGCAGTGGAAGGATAATGGCTGAAATGATGATGATGATGATGAAGTAGGCTGCAATAACAAATGATGTGTTGTGGTGTTTTTCCTCATTACGGCAAAATCTGCAAATATTTGTTGGGCTTACGTTAGTTTTGCTATGTGCTTGCTTAGTATCCAGTAAGAACTATTGTGACTCAAAATAATTTTTTACAGCAACTTGATGTTCAAGATTTTCACATGCTGGAGAACTTTACCGGCTTTAAATGCTTTGAAAAGAGAACAAGAAGCTAGAAAAGCAAGATGGAGAGAAAAGGTACTTTTAGTAGTTCCCGATTATAAACCTCCTGAAGATTAGCAAAATTATGTTTAAGAAATTCAAATGCTCCAAAAGATTAGGAACCAGTTTACACGAATGATGCATTTCATAACAACCGCTGTTGGAAGTGTACTACTTAGTTTGTTAACAGTACGCCCTCTTAAGGGAATCCCAGTTCAAAGCGGCTTTTGAACTCTCTAATATCTGAAGCTATTTAATTTCAAGGTTCTGATTCAATTAATATTCAATTTCTAAAAATTATAAATTAAGGCTACTTGATAACATTAGTCATATCAACGTACATACATTTTTCACTTTTTTTAGTAGTTTCATTGTTATAAAGTATTAATAGTGATAAATGTATTACTTAAGCTTAAGTGATAAAATTGATTCGAATTCTGTAAATAAAAATAAATTGATATACAAAATTGTTATATATTATTTGCCTATATATTTTTAATCTTTTAATCTAGTTATTTTTAATAATATACGATTCGCTAATTTAGACATTTCGTCGTATTATTCTGTGAAGTTTATCATTTACTAGTAAATTTTATATTTATGTATTGAAGTTTAGTGCATCTAGTTATGTAGATACAGTGTAAAAGTCATCCATCGGCAGAAATAACAAAAAGTGTAACTGGTGGTGTAAAGCCATATTTAATAATTAAAAAATAGATATATTTAATTATATGTGTCAAAATCAAATTATTTATAAATAAGTACAATATTACAGAATAATATAAACACTATACATACTACAGAAGTATTGTCTACATATACAACATATGAAAAATATTATTGGACATCTAATGATGACAACGAATTGGATACAAAGAGATACCGGTATCAGACTTAATAGTAGAATAGGAAAGAAAAAATCCAGTCCGAGTTGAATTTATACACAGAGGATTCTGTACATAGATATGAGATAAAATGACCTTTGTTTTTTATGCAAAATAGACGCCAAATCGTATTGTTTCGACCAATTTGGTACGGAACTATATATAACGAAATTACCTAATTAAAATAAATAGAATTAAAATTCCATACATAAAGAGATTGTATTAATTAATATTGATTGAGGTAAAGTATTCCAGTACTTTATAATTCTAAAACCACAACTACTGTACCCTTATAAAACTATAATATTAACATTAGTTAAGAAACTACAGTTATGTTTTTTACGAATAAAATCTCATTTCATTTCATAATAACTCAAAAATTAGCAAAATAGCCAATGTATTGGGCATGATCATGAGATTTCTAAAAAAACTAAATAAACGGTTAGGTACTGACGTCTCTTTGAAATTATTTTTTATTTAATTTTATAATTTAGATTTAAGATATTTATGGATATTTAAATTTTATAAGAAAAGAGTAGAAACAAAAACAGAAGGCAGTGAAAATTTGTATGTTGTTTGATGTAAAGATATTTAATGGGAGACATAGAATGAAATAAGGTTATATTAGCGCAGCCATTCAATGCAGTGGAGACCATTTTTCAGATGATCTAATTCGTACCTTTTTCGAATTGGATTCTTATTTTCTTTTCCTTTTTTTTATATTTGAATAACACACAATTACAATTAAAATTATAGCCTATAGCATAGGAGACCTATAGTTATCAGGAATGGCATACCATGGGCATTATATTGCATTTTGTTAGGTCCATGGTGTTTTTATGACTATAGGCGTCATTTATTTTTATCCATTAGGTGGGCTATCAGCTCGTTTTCTATTTTAAGTATCATAAAAAATATATCAGTATATTTTATAAAATGACTGCAAAACTTTTTTGTACAACATAGAAAAAAGATTTGTTTATTTGTACAAATAGTAGTAAACGCGATTTCCTATTTCTTTAATATAACAAAACTGTTAATATAATCCAACGTTTTTCACTTGGGTAAAAAGGAATTTGGATTTTATGTCATTATAGAGAACTTTGTAATAAATTGCTATAAATTTTTCGGAGCTATCGTGATTTATTATTTTAAAGACAAACCGCGTCCACAATGTTAAGCTTTTATTTTTTTATAACACTGAGATGGCAGGCACTGATACGGCCCACCTGATGGTAATTGGTTACAGTAGCCTATGAACACCTGCAATACCAGGGGTATTACACGCGCGTTGATGACCCTGAAGAAACCTCTTTACATTCCTTTCGAAGAACCCCATGCTATTATGTATTTTATATAAAAAACTATTTTTTTTAATAAGTTTTGCAAAGAGCAATAAAAACACAAGAACAGTGAACAAATAATAACAATTAATTAGGTAATAATTAAAACAGTTTCACTTTACGTTATATAATACTTATAATGAATAAATAGTGTATTTTCCAAAACTAAGGCGATTAATACAAGGAGTAACAGCCCTGCTCCCTGGGTTAATCGCTTAACAATCCCACGAAAATGACTAGAAATAACAAAAATGTTTACTACTTGGTATTTATCTATAGTTCGATAAGAATTACAGATACACAATTATCAATACATTTTATATTTACAGAGAAGACAAATGGTATTACAATATAAATTACTTATTTTTAATAAAAAATAATTCATTTTTATAGTATTAAAAACATTATCTTGTATATAATAAAATATAAACAATTTAATAAAAATAAAATAGTGAATATGTACAGAATATATTACAAAGATTCAAATTTATCTTTAATTGATTTATAGTATCTATTTCATAATAATTACCCCTCAGTAAACTACTCTTATTAAAATTAATATTTAAATAAGTTCATTATATTTATTATACATTGAAAACATTAATGAGTTTTCTCCATTGTGGTTCTGAAAAAGGAAAAATGCATAGAAATATTACAAATAGGTTTTAATTTTAGGATGTTCCATTTAAATCGTTTTATTTTTAAAGAGCTTGATAAGAATACTTACCACTATATTTTGGAATGTATATCAATAATTGATGAAGTAGCACTAGAAATATAACAAATAGATATCCCACACCGTACACACAGGTAACAAAGCAAAGCGCCATACTGAAATGTAGTTAAATAAAATGTATAAGTACAATGTAGAACAAAATTGCTAATACATGGGTATGGTAATTTGTTGTTACTTACTTGAATTCATAATATACATCGTCACAATCTTCTGGCATTAATATAGTACCATATAATATAAAAGGTTGACAAACACTTGTCAGACCTAAGTTGGTTCCAAACAAAAGTGTTGCAAATGCTAGCAGCTGTCCAACTAGGAAATAGCCATAATTAGGTTTAAGTACACAGCAGTCCCACCTAAAATAACAAACAGTCCATTTATAAATGAGTAAACCATCAATTTTAACTTTCTAGGCATGCATGGCTCAATGACAGATAAGGAATTAGCATACATACATACCATATTGAGTGAAAGAACCGTTCATTTACCTCAATTTGACATATCTGGCAGTAGTGAGAATCTGATGTGAGGACAGGGCTGAAATATTTTCATAAGATTTATTATTCAATTACTTTTACTTATTTATTTGACTTGAATATTCAGAAATTGATTCAATTATGTCAATTATATGGTATATATTATTCAAAATACTTGTACTTTGTTCCACTATGTCTATAGCAAAATGTGTTTTTTTTTTAATTATAATATTTATACACAATGGGTTTTAAAATATCATCCTTAGGCATAATGTCAAGTCAAAATACAAACCGTGGATTTCATTATGGTATCAGTGTTTTTTATATATATACAAATAACTGTAATCCAAAATTTCAGTGATAGTTTAACAAGAATTTTATTGCATGATTAATATTTCAGTTCTGTATAACAATACTTCCCAATAATCCAACATTGTATTAAAATATATTTTAATTATTTATCTTCAACTCTATAAAATTAAGGATAAATAATATAAATATAATAATATAGAAGTAAGAAGCACCATAGTTCTTAGCATTACATTTAGAGATACATATACTGAGGGTTGGATCCAAAGGATTTGAATTCTAGATCATGAATTAAGTATATATATATACATATACATATATATACTAGCTGATTCGGTAAACATTGTTTTACCATATATATTATTTCTAGAACTATACATGAAAATATATCGTACTACAATTATTATATTCGATTGTCATCTTGCAACTATATTGCGGCACATAAAAATTGCAAATAAACAACAGGGGTTGATCGTAAAAGCGTGAAAATTTGAATTTGTATGTATTTTTCAATGCTAAATCATAATAAAATAAAAATAAAATAAATTGTCAAAAAAAAATATATATATATTTAGGGGTGGGTCACCCCCTATCATTGAGAGGTGTGAAAATTAAATGTTGGCCGATTCTCAGACCTACCCAATATGCACACAAAATTTCATAAAAATCGGTAAAGCCGTTTTAGAGGAGTTTGGTAACAAACACTGCGACACGAGAATTTTATATATTAGATATATATAATATAATCTAATACACATACATATAAATAATTTAGTATACAGAGATGTGGATTATACATTAGGGCTTATAGGTTGGCATAACTATAGAAAGTGTTGTTTTTATTGTTTTTGTTAAATATGGTAAGTTACATATAGCAACTCACCTAATATGTGAAAACTGTTTACTGTAACTTTAGTAATGAGATTATTTATTTAACAATATATAAGAAACACCTACCTGTATTCTTTTCCTTTTGAAGATCCAGTAGCTAGTTCAAAGTCAGCAACTGCTTTCATTTTATAAAAGAAATAGCATGTACATGTTAGCAATAGTAGAAATATGAAGTTCTCTAGTTGTGTTATTTCCAATAGTCCCAATATTCCAATTTCAAATATTAAAAACATATATAAAGCTGAAGATAATGTCCATGAGTAAAAAAATGGTGATCTGAAAATAAAGTTGTTGGAAGTTCAATTAAATCATACTTATATATATATATATATATATATATATATATATATATATATATATATATATATATATATATATATATATATATATATATAGCAGTAGAGTTTGTTTGTTTGGATGAATGTTGAAGGGTTTGTTTGGATCTCTGGAATTATCAGTCGGGTTCGAAAAATTCTTTTTGCATTTGATAGTTCATCATTTAAGAAAATTATAGGCTATTGAATATTACGATATAACCACGGGCGAATCCGCGTAATAGAGCTAGTAGAAAAGTAAAAAAATCATAAGCACAATTATTATCTTTTAACTCTTTTCTTTAGTCTTCATGATAATTGTAATTTGCTAAACAGAAGGATACAGTTCTACTAAAATTTCTGTTAATAATAGATTTAGCTTTATGTATGATCAAGATAATAAATCAGTAGTTACCTGTTCTTCTGACGTGGTCTGGATAATACGTACAATGCACCCATTCCTATGACTACCATGACTATTATAGTAATTGCACGGGATATCGTGGCTACTAACAGCAAAAGTGGCAATATTAAAAAAGGTAATATTGCATCCATATCCACTTTCTTATTAGGTTTATTTGTGTTATAGGGTAAAAGATCTTGGATAGTAAGAGTCACCATTGTACTTTCTAATATTTAAAATTGGAATTTAATTATTGTATTAGCTTGTCACTAAATAAATTCACTCGCTATATTTTAATGCAAATTTCATTGTATTTATGTTCAAAAAATAAATAATCATAAGAAATAATTTGAAGTATTCATTCTGTACTTTATTTAAGAGTCGTCACTATCCCTATATGCTGAAATTTGAGTTATCTATGCCACAGTTTAATAGTATCGGTTCAATAAATTAAAATAATTAAGTTTTGTACAACAATTTTTAATTACATCCGTGTCTAAAATATTCATATCGCTATAATTACATATTAACTAAATAAAAATGTAAAAAATGAATAATTGACAGTTTGCTGGTGTCCAATAATAGTACAAATCAATAATTGTCATTTAAAAAATATTTGTGAGATAATTTTATAAATCTTGGTTAACTTTTCATTATACTCTATTGAAATAAATTATAGCGTAAAACTTTTAAAACATAATCACTTGGTTGCATAGTTGTTAAATATATAATGGTTTTTTATTCGAAGTGACAAGGAGTTATTTCTTTTTTTGTGTAAAAAAAATGACAGCACAATAGCTGTGTTGTTATTTGCTAATAGATTTTCACACTAAACAAATTTCAAAAGAGATACTTCCAAATACGTAAAATTTGGGCTAAATTGGTCTGTATCATTTAGTCCATTGTTTATTTATTAAATTACATGCAGATCTTATTTGGTATGTCATGAAATATTACAAACACATTTGCTGAATTTGAAGACACTGTTTAGTGGTTTAGAAGAGCCATATAACCATTTTCAAAATGTCAAAAAGTTAAGGGTTATATATAGGATAGGCCGTGCCGTGCCTATACCTTTATGTGCATATATTTAATAAATAATACCCATACAACACAATAAAAAAAGAAGGAAGGTATGAAAAAAAACGTAGTCGGTACTTTTGATTCAAGATGTTTTTTTTTATGGATGATGATGGAATGGTAACCCTGCCTGCGCTAACGATATCTGTTGGCGGAGCATTAGTGACGGTGATCATGAAAAACCAGCTCAGTTAGCCCATCGTGATGAATACACCTGGAATTCAGTTCGATGGTTTTCAAGGGGAACCACGTGGAGGTGGACCTGACAGGGTATATTGCTAGCAATGCTACCAATGGGTCAGTTAGATCCCATTACTAACAATTCCTTTCCTCCCTCAAGGAGAGGTTGAGAGCACCAAAGAAAAGCAAGTAGTACAAAAAGTACTCGACATTTTGCTTTTATTATCTACAGCCGAACTGCTTGAACAGTACCTCTATTTATTGTGCAAAGTAGGTATAGCTTTTAACGTCACTAAGAAATACACACATTAACGTAGTCTAGGGATATTTTGAATTTTCTCAATTTACTGAAATTAAAATATAAATAACATGCAACATATATATATTTTTTGAAAAACCCATTAAACAGACTATACTTCAAAATAAATTAAAGTCATATTTTTGCATAATTGAAGTTTTATTTAAGTAAAGACAAAAAATGGAAAAATGGTAAAATTAAAGGTTGTCTGGAAAAGATTGCTTAGCAATAAGACCGCCTTTTGTACTACATTATTCTTATTGAAAATTGTTCAACAAATATAATAATATCTACTTTATTGCAACAAATATAATGTTGGTGCTATAAAGTGTTTAATAAATAAATAAATAAATAAAAATTGATGTTTTTTTATAAGAAAAAAGAAAAATAAAGCTAAGTATTCAAGTTTTTTAAAATGATACAAAAATTCGAAGTCAGTAAAACCACCCATGATATTAATAACGGTTCTGCAGCGGTTTTTCATACTTTGAATCAAGTGATTAAAGTCTTGCTGTGAAATATTGTCCCAGGTTTTGCTTAGATGCAAAAAATGTTGCTCTTCAGTTGCGATGTTTGCAGGAAAATCCTTCACAGCATGTCCCACGCGTGCTCTATGGGGTTTAGGTCTGGCAATTGCGCAGGCCAGCTTAAGACCGACACATTGTGCTCCTGCAGCCAGCTGGTCACGACTCGAGTTGTGTGCGGGCGAACGTTATGTTGCATGAGTGTGAATTCTCGGCCCATTTATAGTCGATGGCGATGGACAATGGGTATTAGTACCTGGTTACGGTATTTTTCAGCGGTCATGGTGTTTCTGATCCAAAAGAGGTCTATTCTGCCACCGACACGAATTCCTGCCTAAACCATAATTGTCCCGCCATGGTAAGGATGAACTTCCTGAGTGTGTCGCTAACGGCTCTCACGACTAGAAACTCCCTATACACATACTCTTCGTGAATAAGGATGGAAACCAAATCGGGACTCATCGGTAAACAGTACTACAGACTGGATATCCTCCCAGAGCAAATGTTTACGGGCCCACTGTAATCTTCGTCCACGATTTCCTTGGCGCAGTGCTGAAGTACGAAGCGGTCTGCGAGTATACAGGTTAGCTTCATGCAGTCTTCTCCTCACAGTTTGGTCACTCTCTCTCTCTCTCGCTCGGCATTAATTAGAAAAAAGATACACGTGTATAGCATATTTAAGGAAGTTCTAATAGGAAAAGGTTCTCAATTGGTGAGAAAGTTTTGGCTGTTTCATGATTACATCGTCAATTCTATTGATCATCAATTCGATGAAATATTTCATCGTCGTTACGACTAGCTTTTTCAACCGACTTCAAAAAGGAGTTTATCAATTCGGTTGTATTTTTTTTTGTGTTTGTTATCTCACAACTTCATTATTTCTAAGGCAATTTTTTTTTTCTGAAAGGATATATTTGCAGATTAGTCTCATAGAAATTATATCAAAATCGGTTTAGTATTTGTTTAATCAAATACACTGATTTTATCACAATCTAAATTGTTTTTTTGTGAGACACAATCTTAAATTATTGCGGAACAAAATATGTTAAAACATAAGTACCTACCTACTTGTATTTTTGAAAAATCGTCTATCATTCATTGTTTTCTTTTTTACTATCCATTTATTTCAGTATAAATTAAGCTACAAACTTAACAGAGGAAGACGTACGAAAAAATAAGTTTCTAAAAGTAATTTTCTAAAGAAAATCATGTTTGACTGTTTATTTCTTGGACGGTCGTGATATTTCTGATACTCAATATAAAGGTACCGTTTAATATTTATCTTTAATCAGTATAATGATTTTGCTGTCATTACCTTAACATACAATTAACGCTATAAGCGCGTCTGTGGCCTCGCATCAGCAGTGTTGTGAACATACCTAATGATAATGTGCTCGGTTCAGTGTTGATTGTTGGTGTTGTGGTTCGAGAGGCAAACAGGGCTGTGGCGATCGGACCATCCGACTCACACATGCGCTATGTCAGTCAACAACAGTCGGCGCGCGCACGCGTATCGTTATACAGTATTTTTTACCTTATCCACCGGCAAAGACTACGACACCAACCAACAGTATTGATCGGGCATTCGCCGCGAAACGGCGCCTCAAAAATGCGATACGAATTTTTCAATGTTTAATCCTTGATCGACCGAGTATTGGACGCCCAAATATAAAAAAGGGCATTAATATATAGAAATGGAAGAGTGATATTTAAGTGTTCTGTGATTCCAACGAGTTGGACGGTATGTCGAAGGTGAGTATTACAAATCATTATTGTGTAATAGAGAAGTTAGTAAACCGCTGATAGTAGATGAAGGTAGTTTGTTTAATCATTGCCAAGGACGATTTTAATTAATGCTGGTTACAGTGTTACAAGGATAGGAACTGAATCATTTAAGGATTTCGATACTTCGACATTGCCCCTTCTCTTTAAGATAATCACCGTCGCCATTTCGAAAATAATAAAGAGGAAGCGTAATATTTTCAAAATACAGAAAATGTTTTGTTAGTAGGTAAGCTAGGTACCGGTTTCTTTAGATTGATTCAGGATTTGGATTCAGACGAAAATTAATCAAATTACCTCGAGGATGTTAATTATACAACTTTGCTATAGTTACCTACCTACGTGTTAAGTGATGACCAGCGTCAGCATAACAATATTTTACTGCTTCACATATCGTGCAAAGAAAATATAAAGATATTTGAAGTGATGAAGTATTATTGCTACTAGGTACAGTCTGTTTCAACAGAACTTATGAAAAGGTAACCAAGTCTTGTTGAAATATTTATAGAAAAAAACTTTCAATTAATAACAAATTGAAAAATATAATCAATTAATCGATTGGCATATCGTATTTTGGTCGCATAAATTTTTCTTTGGTTTAATAAGCGTTTTGTCCTATACTGTATAATCATCATCATCATCATCAACATGTCAGCCGTTAATTGTCCACTGATGAACACAGGTCTCCCCCACCCATGAGGGAGGTTTTGCTAATGGTTGCCATGTTTGGCAGGCGGGTTAACAACCGCAGTTAAGCTTGGGTGATGTTTTAAGAGGGACGCTGCCTCTACGATTAAGTTTACTTAGTCATCTCTTACAATACTGCATATTAATACTGCATAGAAAATAAACTAAATCGGTTTAGCTGAACCTTCTAAAGTCTATAGTTTTTAATACTTATTTGTAGGTAGATACATATTGTGTTGCGGTAGTATCTATAATTTCGGATTGGGTGATTTATCTTTAAGGATTTTGATGTGAAACGTTGACAATAGCTACTGAAGGCATATTAACCTATAACATTTTTATTTTGATTTATTAAATAACTATAGATTTTTTTTAATAATAGCCAGATATATGTTAGATCATGTTTAATTTGCTTTATATCGTAGGTACCTACTGTGTAATAAGTAGATGTACATAAATATAATTCAATATAAGGATACTTTTCTTACAAGAATAAGCTCAAAATTGTGTGCATTTTTTTGTGTCAAAATTAGGCTCCATTATTATTATTAGATATTTCTTGTCTACATTTATTTAATTGCTTTTTAACAGATGGAAAGAAAGTTATTTTAAAAAGGGGTAAGAATGGGTTTTCGGAAGGTTTCTAAAGATATTAATAATGAAGTAATTATATCATATTACTGCGGCCATATATGATTCTGTTACTATTGTCGTATGAAATATGAACCGACAGTTTTGCAATTACGTACCTACCATTTGACATTAGTTAGAAACCGTAGAACTTCATTTGTAATTAGAATTGTTAAATAATTACATATCAGCTTGTCTAATCGCAAAATTGTCAATTTCAATCTGTTTCAAATGATAATTGTTAACAAAGTGAGTTACGTAATCAAGCCTCTGGTAGTGCAAGCAATGCATTCATAGGTTACGGTTACCGCTTATCATCAGTTGTTACTTATTTACTATTTCGATACCTGGTGTAATTAATAGGTAGGTATTTTTATTATATGTACTTATTATTTTATATAAAGATAAAATAATAAGTATATATAATAATGAAAAACCATAGACACAAAATAAAATTTTTACTTGGTATTATTTTATAACATGTTAGTATATTATGACAAAAAAGGTATGAACTGTATGTCCTTTATACAGTTCATTACATGACCTAGTAAGATTGACAGTAATCATATCGGAAGTTGTAACAATTTAACATGTACCTATTCTTAGTGTAAACACTTTAAATATGACCTGTTTATGGAAAAATAAATTATTATTTAATTTAAAATATCTATGCAGATAACTAAATTCAACTTAATGTTGTGGAAATATGAGTTTAATTTTAAACGTCATTTTGTTATCTATAAAAATGGACTCCGTATTTGGAACAGATATTGATACCTGCATGTGTTATATTTGTATACTTATTACTTGTATTTAATGTTACTATTTATTTAATCATAATTTTTGAATAAGCTCAATATTAGTCTGGTTTAGATATTTTGGTACTACATATAATGAGGATTTTATGGTCAATGCATCATATATTTATTTATTTATTATATATATATATATATGTATGCACTCACCAAAAACTAATAAATCAAACATATTAATGATACAATATTGGAATAATATAAGTAATAAAAAATCTAAATATGCTATATAAAATAAATATTAAAAATGTATTAAGTGCCTTTTAAAATGGGTAATCGCCTATTTTTTTTTTGTATTATGCGATATATATATTATGCGAAACCTTCGCCAGGTTTTGTTTTTTTTTTTTAATGAAATAAAGTCTTTATTATTTCCAACGACACAATAATTATACGGTACACGAGTTAACCCTAGATGTATCTTATTAAAATAATTTAAATACTAATGTGAATATGTTTATTATGAAAACAATTTTATAATTTATGAAATACTAGTTTTTGTCTGAGACTTTTTTAAAAGTATTCTATTTCTGTATTCTATTCCATTAGTTTAAAATCCATATTTTAAACTAGAACTTTTCTCGATTGTGTATCAAGATAAAACATTGAAATTCAACTGTGAAACTGCAATTGGGCCGTAGTTTTTGCATGTGGCCGGAACAAAAACAGACCGAAAAAAATTATAAGAAATATTGTTTTAACTTCTATTGCTTCTATAATTTTTTTTTAATATTTCCTATGTACAGATGTTGTCTAGTTACAATTTCATTAGATACCTATATGTACTGAGGTATTAAGTAAAAATAACAAACTATAATAGTTTTTAATCCTATTTGGCTCTTATTAAGTTCTGATTATTTATGTTAATTTTAGTTAATGTTAATTTTACTTATTTCAATTGCCTAAAAATTGATACCATGATTATATACGTTCTATGTCAGTTATGTCTGTTCTAGATAGGTAACTATAATGAGATTTCATGCTAGCTTGGCTTCTCTAATTTTAGTAACGGTTCTAGGTGGATATTTATTGCAACCCATGATATTTATTTAATTAATTAGACCCAGTGGTCTGATATTATATGGAATTTATATGACGAGACAATATTATACCTATGAATTTAAGTTGTGTTATTGCTGAAACAAAAATATATAGATAGTGGAATTTATGTAGTATAAAATTGTAGAGTTGCCTACCTATAACGTTGTAAAATCCACCTTTAGTTTTCAGAAAATTATTTATGTTGTCAATTTATAACATCATAAGGTATCTCGCAGCATACTGCTGTTTTATACCTAATACAGACAGTCGTCTTAGATTATTTATATTAGAGTTCTCTTTTAAAAAACTCTTGAATTGAATCATCGTTTTTTGGCTTATTTTTTTTTTATTTTATATTCTGACTAAGAGCATTAATGTCTTTAGTTTACTGAAGTGAGCCAACGTCGCAATTATCTGTCAATTTTGAAAAATAATGTTTTATTAATTGATTATTTAAAAATGCTTTATCTACAAACTAAAATTTATTTATCATGCTCTTCAATAATAGAAGACATTATTTATTTTCTTTATAAACTCCATTTACGTATTCAATTAGCTGTCCGCCCAAATTTCGCACAGGTGTGGTAATGAAAAAGAGATCAAATCTTCGCTTTTTTAACCAAAGTTCACACTTTTCTTCACGACTTTTCAAACATTTTCTTTCATACAAATCTGTCCTGATAATTACAGACAATAAAAAAGAATTGGCTAAATATGTGCAGCCGTTCTAAAGTGATGCGATTACATACATTCGGCAATTGATTTTTATTTATATAGATAATCAAAGACTGTAATAAATAGCAATATATTTGTGTATTTAACAGTAAAGTCAGTGTGGTCCCGGCACAGAATTGACCACCCCTTCCATTCTTGTGGGTGTCGTAAGAGGCGATTAAAGGAATTTAATTATAGAGGGATAGGCAGCAGCGTCCCGCTTAAAACATCTCTAAAAGCCTAACTGCGGTTGCCAACCCGCGTGCCAAGCGTGGTAACTACTGGCAAAACTCTCTTTATGGGGAAGGCTTATGTTTAGCAGTGTGCAGTTAATGGCTGACTCGATGAAAAAAAAAAGATGATTCAACAGTAGTCGCTTGGTTATTATTTTTATAGGAACTAAATTGTGTTTTGTCGCATTTGTCATTTTATACTATTATTTATTTGTGTATGTATTTTATATTTTACCTGGACGATTTCTCGCGATGACGTGAGCATTAATTTGAAAAATTAATGCTCACGTCATCGCGAGAAATCGTCCATGGGTCATTGGCATCGCATTTGCCATTTTTTGCTCAGTAAGCGATGACGGGATGCGCGAATCTTGTTCTTGCTTGGTAAGAAATTCTTGCAGTTAACAAAAACTTAACCCGTTATACAAAACACAATTCAATGGAACAAACCATGAAGTTTGTCTCATTCAATAAATTCACAAATTTAACTTGTCTATCTAATTTAATATAACTACTATGTCTATACAATAAAAAATAAGTACCTACCTGTGTCGAGTGTTCTGTAGTTTTGTTATAGTATTATCTACTATGACCAATGACTTTTCTAAGAACACAGATTTTATCAAATTTGGCAATCAAAACTTAATAAACTATTATTTTTAAATTTTCATTTTTAAGCAGAGACAATAAGTTTTTATTAACCGAGTTTTCATACAGACTCGTTTACAACATCACTAACTTGGTTGTTGTAAGTTGAACTAGTGCGCCAGTTGAGACTGACTTTCCAAACATTTCCTTTCTCCATTTACGATCCGTTTACCCCATTATAATTCATTCATAATGATTCTGATTT